GATCTTTTGTCTTTGTTGTTGTCTATAGCTCCCATATATATTGTTCATCCGGTTTTTTTTTCGTCCTTCGTAATAACTCAGTAATAATAACACCCTGCAACAACGATATACATCTCAGAAATACCTCTGATAAATTTTATCGAGATCGGTTCAGATTTGAATCTTCGTCCGATTTGCATTTTATTGTGCACCAAACGACGACACTTACGACCAAAATGAGTGCAGAAACAAGTATGTCAAACATGGTGAAAATAGGTTCAGATATAGATATAGCTCCCATATGTATTGTCGACTTGTTATATTTGCTCTCCACAGCCATAACATGCACTCCGTAACAGCGATATTCTGGGAAATATATCAAATACAGATCAGAAATACCTTTGCCAAATTTTATCGAGATAGGTTTAGATTTGGATATAGCTCCCATATATATATTTTCCGATAAATTAAACTATAATCATAGTTGGTATGATTTGTTATGTGAAGCACTACTAAATATGCAAATTTTTGTAGGATATCATAAAGTCGGCCCCGACTGACTTTAAGACTTTCTTTGCTGGTTTGTGTTACCGACAAAAATATTTGAAATTAAAATGCTTATAATTTCGTAATTAACGATTTTTAGGCAAATGGAAGTCGGAAACTGTGATAAAAACAATTTCAACTTCTTTGGCATAATTTGAATTACTATACCATAAATTTGACTATTCCTTTTTTGGTTGAATTCTGAAAATGTAATTTTCAACAAAATTCTTCCGGAGAAATATTTGTTTATCAACAATCGACTGGAATCTGTTTCCATCACATAGCTATTTTAATTCCGAGTTCCGAATTACAATGCAAAACGGAAAAGAAAATGTGTGGGCTATTTCGTGGAAATCTTAAGGTTTGTGGGAAGAAATTTCGAATTAAGTCTAAAGTATTCCAATGAATTCTTTCAAAAATAGTAACACAAATACAAATATTAATTTCAAATCCCCCACTAACACAAAAAATTTCAAAGAATTGAACAATGCAAATTTGCCTTAATGCCATTAAATATGACCGGAAAACCACAAACAAACAAATCATGCAATATTGAACTACTTTTTCGCATAAAAGGACATTAAAATTTTGCTAATAATATTTAAAAACCCTATTGTGTATTCACAATATTAGCAAGGATTTTGAAATTTTAATTTTTTAAAAACACATAAAAATTGAACAAAAGAACTAACAATGGAATTGTTCCTTTTGTGATAAACATACAGGGGAGTGAGCTAAGGATGAGAAAGAAATACTATTTTCCTAGTTTTCCTCCGCACAGTTCCCAAATTAGCGCCATCCGTTCTCCTTGCAGAAGGTCCATTGTAAGGCAAATAAAACAATGCACTGACCTAAGGATTAGCATTAGAAGGGCTATTGTTGAATAGAGAGCTAACAACAATTGCAGAAAATGCAATGAAACAATAGAAGAATTGAAAGCAGAACTGAAATGTAGAAAATCAAAAAGTCAAAATTTCAATCAAACACGCCTTGTAAGTAGATGGGCAAGCGTGCATGCAAGCCAGGATCTTTCATTTCAAATGCACTCATCTATTGTCACTGCGTGGACATGGTTGAATTCATGTCTGCCCAACATCAGATTGATGATGACAACCCCCCTACACACAGCAGGTAAAATTGTTCAAACTCTCTCTCTCTCTCTATCTCCCTCTCTCTTTCGCTCTTTTTGCCTTGTATTATATACAGGACAATAAAAATACACTTTTACTTGTAAATGCCGCTAATTAGAATTTTTATGAACTCTGAGAGAATATTTGTGTTCCCATCGCTATAGCTATCTTTTGTCACTATTGTCCATCACATAGAGGGGCGTTTGCCAATGTTTAACTAACCTATAATTATCACTCAAAACTCACTAACCTAATATTATCACTAACCTATAACCTATATTTCACTTCATCTCATTGTCTTGGAATCGTTCTCTTGTTCTTTCATTGTATTGTTTTCACCATTTCGGTAGCCTTCTTCTCTCAGGAGGAGAGAAATAAAGAAACTTTTTATATAAAGCGACATTAGTCGCGTGGCATTATTGACATCATACCATCGATCAAAACGAGAGATCATTGTCATTGTGCCGGCCGGCCGGCGTTTGATGAAGTGCATCATCTGTGCATTGCATTGTTCAGCACCGATGGTTGTTGGTGTTTCTTTTTTTGAAGTTGATCTAGTTTTTGGTGTTTTGCTTTGAGAAAATTGCGTGTGAAATGTACAATCATTTGTATATTTTAGTTATGGTTGGCGTTACAATGTCTGTGTGTGCCAACAATGGAATTCCCTGGAAAATCGTTGCGCATTTGTATTTCCTTTGTCTGAGGGGAAAGTAGTGAATTCATAATTGTGCGGCATTCTTTTTTCTACAAAGATTTAAATAAAACCAGTAAGGAAAAGTCAAAAGTCGGACGGTTTCGACTATATAATACCCTACACCACTATGCATATTTAGTAGAGCTCCCATAGCAAAAGAATTTATTTGTAGTAGATCATACCACCTATCAACATATCACTTCGAGAACGATTATGTTATAAAATATATATCGGAGCCGAGTTCCACAAAATGGAAGCGTACGTTCTGAAATTCAATCCATTTGTGCTGATACTAGCTCTAAATTTAGAAAAGGTATTTCCGAGCTCTATAAGATATCAGGTACCAAATATCATTGTTGTCGAATGCATATTACGAATGTCAGAGATGAAACCTATATATGGGGGCTATAGATATATCTGAACCGATTTTCACTAAATTTCATGTACTTGACCGAATTCGGACAGTCTAAAAGCACAATTAACACGCAATCGGTTGAAGATATATATGGCTATATTCAAATATGAACCGTTCTTGATAACATTTGGCAGATGTGTTTCGGTGCTGTATCTGATACCAAACATCATTCTTGTGGGGTGCATGCTATGAATGTGGGAGACTAAAACACCAAATCGGATGAGCTATAACTATATCTGAACCGATTTTTACCAAATTTGATATACTTGCTTTTAGACTGAATTCGATCGGGTGTGCCGAAATTCAGGACTTTTGGACTGATATTGGTCATTTGGTGCACAATTACCTGAAACCGGTTGAAGATATATATGGTAGCTATATCCAAATCTGAACCGTTCTTGATAAAATTTGGCAGTGGTATTTCTGGGCTGTATCTGAATCTGGTACTAAATATCATTGTTGTCGGGTGCATATCACGAATGTGAGGGACTTTAAACCCCAAGTCGGATAAATTTGAACAGATTATCACCAATTTAAAATTATTATTTCGATCAGGTGCAAACCATACTATATATGGTGGAGGGTATAAAAATTCCAGTTTCTATCATTTTACATTTAACCAAACTGTTCCAAATTTTTTACCATTTATTACAGGTCGCACCCATAGTGCACATTTCAAAAACCACCTTAATGTATCAAACTTACTTTCCAACATTAATTCGTCTCCATAAAGTTCGAATTCTCAAACACCCTTTGATTGATCTATCCTACACTCTATCAGTGACTCTCATTCCAAATTTTAGAATTCTCGCTCATTCCGTTTGTCCGATACAAGGTATTCAACCATCGATTGGTCACTAATTGCGACCAATAGAGCTACCGCAAAATCAAAAAAAAAAATCCTAAATATTTGCGAACATCTCCAACAACAGTTTTATTCTGATCCTTACCCTACGGCTATGCAAGTCTATACTACATGGTGGGTCTTGGACCAATATTTCGAGGTGTTAGAAATTTTGGCCAACTCAACACGTTTTAGCGCTAAAATTGCGCTCTTTCTCTAACTACAAGTCGCTGGAAATAAAATTTATTTTAACATTAAATATCAACAAAATACTGGGTGAGATGAAAAAACTGCAACCAAGTTCAGACTGCTGTCATTTCTAAACCACCCGTCCGACAGCTGTTAAAATTATTCCAGTCACAGCTCATTATTGTGTACAAACATTCGTTGTGCTGCAGTTTGTAAACAAACAAAATGATCGTGTTTACTTGCCAAAGAGGTCAGCTGAAAATGTGCACCTTCGGTTGGCCACCAGAGCTCAAGCGCCAGCCATGGTCGCTCTCCGCTAGTATTAATCGACCGTGGTATTAAAATAAATGGCGAATATTATCGCGAAAATATTCTGGAGGGTATTTTAAAGCCTAGGGTACGCAAACATTTTTGCCACAGACCTTGGACATTCCAACAGGACTCAGCACCATCGCACTCAGCACGCGCCACCAAAGAATGGTTACAAAATGAGGTTCCTCGCTTCATTTCAAGCGCACAATGGCACGAAAATCTTCGGATACCAATCCGTTGGTATCTGGAGTATTTTTAAAAGCAAGGTTGGCACTAAAAAATACCAAAGTGTCGATGACCTCATGCAAGCGCTTCGCCGGAAATGGGCCAAAATACCGCAGAGCACCATTCGGGCAGCGTGTGACATTGGCCGTTTGAAGGCCAAAGGTGACCAATTCGAACAAATCTAAATTTATTCCAAAATTTGATGCTATTTCCACTATTTTTAGCTTTCTTTCAATAAAATTTTAAAAAAAATGTAAAAATTATGTCTTTCGACTTTGTTGCGGCTTTTTATCTCACCCTGTATGCGTATCAATTTTACCGAAAGAAAAGACACTCATATTTTTTTCTAAAATGTTTATTGTTTTCTTTTTCAAGTTAATGCGTGAAAGTAATATGAAACTTAGTCTTAGACGAAAAATACACATATTTATTTTTAAGGAATTTTTCATGTTCAAAATCACATTAATTCAAACAATTACAGAATATTTAATTTTTCATTATGAACATTTGCGAGTATAACTAAAAAAGTGATATTTTGCGTGTTTAAAATGAGTTCACAACGCATTTAATAAGCCAAAGTGAACAACAAATACAAATAGGTAATAATCACATATGCTTTTCAAAAATCATAAACCAAACAGTCGAATGAACACTAGATTTGTCATGTTAATTCTTTTATTTATGTTTTGAGTGTTTACAGAAACAAAAAACAGTCACACAATAACGTCATGAATGTTGCCAGTTTATTTTTAAATCTAGTGTTAATCAACTGGAATAAATAAAACATTAATGGTTGCATCTTTTGGCTTTCCTTTTAGGTCAGGCACATACTAACGTACTAATTGATGTTTTCAACACAAAAAAAAAGAAAATAAATTGTTCACATTCGCAATAACACAAATTTGTATTGTTACTTAAATGTATATATATATGATGATATTAAAAAGTTGAAATCTCAAATCATTGCAGACTTATTGGAGTTTTGTATATATTTGTGGTTTTTGTTGGGAAGATTTCTTTTATTTGTTTATTTTTTGTGATATGATTATCAATAATATGTGAAATATGTATATACTACTATAAATATGATATCTGTTAACAAATTATAAAAAAAAAATAGATCAAAAATAAAATGTTCTACTTAAACATATGGTGGTGTAGTGTTGCAAAACGATTGTTTTTTCCTAAATTAAAACATTGGTGTAAATATTAATAAATATACAATAATATTTGATATATGTTTGTGTAGATAATAGTAATAATAAAAATGCTGACTTTTGTTTAATACCAATACAAACATTTTAAACATGATATTCTTTACATTTGTTTCTTTGTTGTTTCAGCGAAGATATTTATATTAAATTAAAAGGAAAATAATTATTCTTTAATTTTTTATATATAAATAGTTCGTTTGCAATTGCCACTCCTAAACATTCGTCTATAAAACATTTACAGGGTTGTTGATGTTACCGTACTGACACCATGCACTAAAATGGTAGGCGGCAATTCAGCTGTTAGTTCTGTCAACAATTCCATATAACGGGCACTGATTTCTCGGAAATCCGGAGAATCAATTGGTGGTGGGGCAGCTAAATATATAAACGATAAAGCTGTTTGATCGGAACGTTCCCGTATAATTTGATTTGCTCTGAAAGTAAAAGGTAGGAATAGTGAGATAAATATTAATTTTATGGCACAAGATATATGCTCTGTTCCAGGACCTGGAATAATCTACTAATTCTTACAAGTTTTTTGAGCGTCAACTTTGTTATAACTTGATAAAAAAAATGAAAAATACTACGCATATGTTGTTTAAATATATATTAAGAATCACTTTAAATTTAGGCATGCTGATTCGACGATACGTATAACTTACAGGGTGAGATGAAAAAACTGCAAACAACTTCAGACTGATGTCATTTCTAAGCCACTCGTCCGACAGCTGTTAAAATTATTCCAGATACAGATCATTATATTTTATACAAGCGTACAAAATCATTTTGGTGAGAATTTTCCAGAAAAAAAGTTATTCGTGCTGGAATTTAAGCTTGATAGTGTGATTTATTTATATTTGGCTGGAAACCCACAAGTGGCTATCGTTAGAGCGCTCCAGCATTTAAATGTGAATAAATCGCTCGTTACCGCGTAGCCTGACGTCAAGGAAGTGGACGGAAGAAAACAGCAACATCAGCAGAAATGGTTCGAAAAGTAAAGAAGCGACTTGATCGAAACCCGTGTCGCAGTGGCCAAAAATGGCTCGTGAGCTAAACATATCGCAATATTCCATTCGGCAAATATTGAAAAAAGAGCTCGGGGTAAAGTCATTGAAATTCTAAAAAGTGCAAGAACTTACACCACATCGGAAACAAAATAGACTGAAAAGAGCTAAAGAGTTGCTTCGCTTGGCCGAAATTGGTGAACTGCCGAATTTGGTTTTCTCCGATGAGAAAACATTCGTTGTCCAGCAGTTTGTTAACAAACAAAATTATCGTGTTTACTTGTAAAAGAGATCAGCTGAAAATGTGCAGAACTCAAGCGCCGGCCATGGTGATGGTGTGTGCTGCCATAACAGCCAATGGTCGCTCTCCACTCTTATTAATCGGCCGTGGCATCAGAATAAATGCCGAATATTATTGCGAAAATATTCTGGAGGGTGTATTTAAGCCTTGGGCACGCGACATTCAACAGGACTCAGCACCATCGTACTCAGCACGCGCCGACCAAAAATGTTTACAAAATGAGATTTCTCGCTTCATGTCCAGCGCACAATAACCACCAAAATCTCCGGATACCAATCCGTTGGACTATTGTGTATGGGGTATGTGTCGATCACCTCAAGCAAGCGCTTCGCCGGGAATGGGCCAAAATACCGCAGAACAACATTCGGGCAGCGTGTTGCGGTTTCATTGGCCGTTTGAAGGCCAAAAGTGACCAATTCGAACAAATGTAAACTTATTCTAAAATTTGATGCTATTTTCGACATTTGTTGCTTTCATTCAATATAATTCATAAATTCGTCAATAAAATTGACTTTGTTGCAGTTTTTTATCTCACCCTATAGTTTAGTGTTATTTTTTATGTCAATTCGTTTATACTTAAAAAAACACGAGCGTGAATATCGACCAAACCAAAATATCGACAAAAACCAAATAAGTGACTGACCGGCCCCTACCACAATGGTGAATGTCTGAAATAATGCAGCAACTGCAAGAACCAACATAAGCCACTATGCTATATGTAGATGGCAAACAATGGAACTCCAAAGTGACTAAGTGACAAACTGTGAACTGGAACGGCGAAAAAGAAACTAATGACCCTGTTTTTATTGTAACGCTTCTTACCTTTGCATATACAACAATGAACGATTGAGATTATCTTCTGTAACACTTCCTTCTGTGGCTTCAGCTGATTGTGTAAATTGCTTCAATATACGAGAATGTCGAGTAAATTCAGTATCACGTGCCCATTCTTGAATCTAAAACACACAATATATAAACAGTATTTATAAATTAAATAAGTTAAGATTTATTGTGAGCATACCTCCATTATCTGGGCATTAATTCTCAGTGATTTTAGCGTTTGTTCCAATTTCATGCGTGAGAATATTTCCATTTGTGGCAGGTTTGGATCCTGAGTATCAAATTGTGCCGTTGAATTTGTATCATTGGTTTCACACAAAAATACACGTAATGTCAAATGTTTCCATTTGGCCAACATAATAACAGCCAATTGCATCATAAACAGTGATACAACATCGAAAGGATTTTCAGTTTTAGGATCGAACACATTAATTGGCCATACATCAATATATTTGACATGTTTGCTCCTGCAAAGAGAAAATGTATTTTTTAAAACAAAAAAATTAAATTTACTTTGTTTCAAATTTTCAAATTACTTTGATATAAAATGTTTATCCAGGCGATGGAAATGTCTGCACAAGCATAGATTTTTCTTCATTCGCAAAATATCACTAATGATTTCCACATATTCCGTAACGTCAATATGCTTTTCTTCACCATCACGTCTTATGGGGAAATTTTGCATATCACCCGTGTTGAAGCCATCTGTTTTATAGGGAGATGTTGATCTGAAAAAATACGATTAATCAAATGAGAAATCAATGTTAGTTATGCACACTATTTAACTTACGATTGAAAGAAATCTTTGGGTGCTTCGTTATCATAGAAGCCCAGTACTATGGTGTTTGGCTTCATGGCACCAATGCCGGATAGACGTATCAAATGTTGCACTCCTTCACGCACCGAATTGGCCAGAGTAGTTTCGGCAAAAGCCTTAACACGCATATGATCGACAAACGATAGCCACTGTTTATTATCTTCTATGGTTGCATCATCCAGATCGGTGTGATTACCCACGCGTACGTGTCCAATGATATATAAGCCACTTTTCTTCATATCATTGACAAAGTCTACCAAAGGACAACTGGAACGCGGCGAGGATACCAGCAATAACATTTGTGGACGCCAAAATTTCACATGATCCTTACGTGGATCTAACATTAGCAAATATTTACGGACCTAAGAACAATTTTGAGATATATTACAAATTTATCGTTGGAATTCGGTGTAATATCACATACCTGATGGAACATTAGAGCTTGCGAAATTGAGCCCCATTGAGCCGATTGTGTGGCTGGCGAAAAGAGATGCAGAGCAATAACCAACAGCAAACACAAAATAATACTTGATGAAGCATATATGGGATTGATAACAAACATCATCACCAGTGTACCAATCAAGCCGAACAGACAAGACAATTTAGACCTGTCCGACCGTCCATCACACTAGAGTCAAAAAGAATAAAGACAGGAAGCTAAATTTTTGCACAGTTCAGTCCTTTGTCTGCAGGCAGGTCAAGTTCATCGATGGTCTATATCACTCCACCATATCGTATAGACTCCATATAACGGTACCCCCCGATATTCCGTATTTTTATGATTTTTATGATTGATTTTTCAATGGAATTGTCTGAAATTTGACACAAGGAGTCCTTTGTGAGTACTTTATTTTCAATGAAATTGTCTGAAACTCCACAAAAGGATTTGCTTCTGAGTACTTTACTCCCTGGAAGAGTATTATCTATATAGGTCCACGATATTGTATATCCCCCATGTAACGGTAAATCCCTATATTCGGTATTTTCATGATTTTAGCTTATTTTTCGATGGAATTGTCTAAAAATCCATACTAAAAGTTCCTTCTAAGCACTTTATCCCTGGAAGAGAAATGTTTACATAGGTCCACGTAGGCCAACATAAAACGGTACCTGCCGATATTCACCGGAGATTTTTCAAATTTCGTATTTGGAATTCGTAATGGGTACTACAACCTAAATGGCGTATGCAGACCCACGTCTTCGTATAGCCTCCATATAACGTTACCTCCCAATATTCGGTATTTTGATGATTTTAGCAACATTATTCACCGTAGTTGTTTCAATTTGCATGTTTAGAGTTCGTAATGGGAACTACAGTATATGTCAGAAAATTGTCTATGCAGGTATAGGCCCCATATATCAATACCTCCCTATATTCGGTATTTTGACGATTTAAGGTGCAATTTTAGCCGACATTGTTTGTTTCGTATTTAAAGGTCCTAACATGGTACAATGAAGAGAAGGTAAGTCAACTTTGAAAAAAATGCAAGTATAGAGGTCTACCTGTTTGGCTTGTAATGTCAGAATTACTATCAAAACAATAAAAAATCAAACAACTTGTTGCATTTATTTTGAATAAATAATTTCAAACCGCGAAAAATGAATGAAAGGTCAAAATTTCTTTTCAAAATCATGTTCTATATATCTCTTATGGTTTATTTCGCGACAAAAACTGTAGATTTTGTCGAGGTATACGTTGCAATAAGCATTTTGAAAACACCCAAATTTGAATATTTGCTGAACAATTTTTTATTATTGAAACAATACACACACATAAACAAATGAAGTTGACATATTAAGCCAGAAAAATAAAAAAAAATTGAAATCATATGGTTGTTCTGCCCTACCTTGAATTCATTGTACCCTGGGTCCTAATAGGTAATACAGCCTGTGACAGAAAATTGTCTATGCAGGTCCGATATAACGATATAACGATATAACGGTACCTCCCTATATCTGGTATTTAGCTACATTATTCACTGGATTTTCCAAGTTTCGTATTTGAATATTATAATGGCTTATGACTTCGTATAGATCCCAATATAACGGCTATATTCGGTATTTTTAAGATTTTAACAGTATTATTAACGGTTTTTATGATAATTTTCAAATTCGTTCCAATTTGTGGAGGGTATTCAAAGTTCGAATGCAGTAAATTCGGCCGGGTCCCATATAACGGTACCTTCTAGATTTGGAATTTGGAGCTCGAAATGGATACAATTTCCTATGACAGAACATTGCCTAAGCAGATCAAGGTCTTCGTATGGCCCACACTTAACGGTATCGCCTTATAATGGGCATTTTTCCACAGAATTATCTCGAGCTTGGCAATCGAAGTTCGTAATAGACAGATGTTTTTTTATAGCTCCACATAACTGTTACCATAAAACAGAAAGCGGGACAGAAACAAAACACATACATTGAAATACAACAACAAGTTTCATCGACTTTTTCTGCTCCCAAGAGCGCTCCCTCTCGAATTCGAGTGAGATTACAGGACGTCTGACTGTAACACCTGATATTCAGAATTTTTAAGTTTTTCGACATTTTTCAACGGGCGTTTTTAACATTTTCAAGTTCCTTCCAAATGGTGGAGGATATTAAAGGTTCGGAAGGGCCAAACTTAGATTATTTGTCAATATTAGCGAGCCTCTGTTGTGGGCAGTGCTTTAACATATGTTTTCCATAAACTGCTTTTTTAAATGCATTTTATCCAGTCTAAACTATTTTATTTTACCAATTGCCAAGAACAAATACCAAATTTTAGGCCAATTCACTACACAATGCCAAGTTTCCAAAATTTTTCTAAAATTTCAAATTGAATTTTCATATCAAACTAGTTTAAAAAGTATCAGTCGGTTTGGCCGACAGATGTATACCCTCAGCCAATGTTCGATTATTTAAATAAATGTTGACATCTGTTATAACTATTTAAATTGTTGATTCTCTATGGAGTAGGTTCAGAAGGAATGGGCCAATATTGTCAATTTTGTATCGGACCTAAATAAATATGGTGACAGGTTTGGTTGGTTACTGGTATTAGTTACTAATAATAATTTTTAGAATCATATCATAAATTCAAATCATACATTCCATATTCATTTCAACGTTTTGTTTTTTCAAATCTTGAATACTATGTGGGGGAGGTGCCAGAAGAATTAATCCGATCTCTAGCATCTTTATAACAGATCTTTTGTTGAAGGAAATATTGAGATGTGCCAAGTCTGAATGTAATCGCATGTTAATTTCGCGTTTTATGAGCTTCACGGATATTTAAAATGTTGACCCTTTGTGAGGGAGGTACAAGAAAGAGTGGACCGATATATTCTATATTCACAGCGTATCTTGTGTTAGTAGAAATAATGTGATGTGTAAAATCTAAAGAGAACCGGATGCATATTTTGGATTTTATAGTCATTTTGGTTATTCAAAACTTTGATCCTTTATGGGGGAGGTACCCGAACCAGATGAACTTTTACACAAATCATTTCTTTAACCCAAGGACGAACTCTATTGAAATTGATGATAATCGGTCAACATTTTGATATAGCTCCCATATATATCTTCGTCCGATTTGGCTTGTATTGTGCTCCAAATGGTAATATAAACCCTAATAGTATGGAATTTTGCATGTATAGCTATAGCTCCATATATATATTTTGTTCATCCGGTTTTTTTTCGTCATCCGTAATATGCACTCCGCAACAACGATATACATCTCAGAAATACCTCTGATAAATTTTATCGAGATCGGTTCAGATTTGAATCTTCGTCCGATTTGCATTTTATTGTGCACCAAACGACGACACTTACGACCAAAATAAGTGCAGAAACAAGTATGTCAAATTTGGTGAAAATCGGTTCAGATATAGATATAGCTCCCATATGTATTGTCGACTTGTTATATTTGCTCTCCACATCCATAATATGCGCTCCGTAACAACGTTATTCGGGGAAATATATCAAATACAGCTCAGAAATAAATGTAATTTTCAACAAAATTCTTCCGGAGAAATATCTGTTAATCAATAATCGACTGGAATCTGTTTCCATCACATACCTATTTTAATTCCGAGTTTCGAACTACCATACAAAACGGAAAAGAAAATGTGTGGGCTATTTCGTGGAAATCTTAAGGCTTGCGGTAAGAAATTTCGAATTAAGTCTAAAGTATTCTAATGGATTCTTTTAAAAATAGTAACACAAATACAAATATTATTTTAAGATCCCCCACTAACACAAAAATTTCAAAGAATTGAACAATGCAAATTTGCCTTAATGCCATTAAATATGACCGGAAAACCACAAACAAACAGACAAACAAATCATGCAATATTGAACTACTTTTTCGCATAAATGGACATTCAAATTTTGCTAATAATATTTAAAAAACCCTATTGTGTATTCACAATATTAGCAAGGATTTTGGATTTTTTAAAAACACATAAAAATTGAACAAAAGAACTAACAATGGAATTGTTCCTTTTGTGATAAACTTACAGGGGAGTGAGCTAACGAAGAGAAAGAAATACTATTTTCCTAGTTTTCCTCCGCACAGTTCCCAAATTAGCGCCACCCGTTCTCCTTGCAGAAGGTCCATTGTAAGGCAAATAAAACAATGCACTGACCTAAGGATTAGCATTAGAGGGCCTATTGTTGAAGAGAGCGAACAACAATTGCAGAAAATGCAATGAAACAATAGAAGAATTGAAAGCAGAACTGAAATGTAGAAAATCAAAAAGTCAAAATTTCAATCAAACACGCCTTGTAAGTAGATGGGCAAGCGTACATGCAAGCCAGGATCTTTCATTTCAAATGTACTCATCTATTGTCACTGCGTGGACATGGTTGAATTCATGTCTGCCCAACATCAGATTGATGATGACAACCCCCCTACACACAACAGGTAAAATTTTTCAAACTCTCTATCTCCCTCTCTCTTTCGCTCTTTTTGCCTTGTATTATATACAGGACAATAAAAATACACTTTTACTTGTAAATGCCGCTAATTAGAATTTTTATGAACTCTGAGAGAATATTTGTGTTCCCATCGCTATAGCTATCTTTTGTCACTATTGTCCATCACATAGAGGGGCGTTTGCCAATGTTTAACTAACCTATAATTATCACTCAAAACCTTGCTCTTCATCTCATTGTCTTGGAATCGTTCTCTTGTTCTTTCATTGTATTGTTTTCACCATTTCGGTAGCCTTCTTCTCTCAGGAGGAGAGAAGGAAAGAAACTTTTTATATAAAGCGACATTAGTCGCGTGGCATTATTGACATCATACCATCGATCAAAACAAGAGATCATTGTCATTGTGCCGGCCGGCCGGCATTTGATGAAGTGCATCATCTGTGCATTGCATTGTTCGGCACCAAAGGTTGTTGGTGTTTCTTTTTTTGAAGTTGATCTAGTTTTTGGTGTTTTGCTTTGAGAAAATTGCGTGTGAAATGTACAATCATTTGTATATTTTAGTTATGGTTGGCGTTACAATGTCTGTGTGTGCCAACAATGGAATTCCCTGGAAAATCGTTGCGCATTTGTATTTCCTTTGTCTGAGGGGAAAGTAGTGAATTCATAATTGTGCGGCATTCTTTATTCTACAAAGATGTAAATAAAACCAGTAAGTAAAAATCAAAAGTCGGACGGTTTCGACTATATAATACCCTACACCGCTATGCATATTTAGTAGAGCTCCCATAGCAAAAGAATTTATTTGTAGTAGATCATACCACCTATCAACATATCACTTCGAGAACGATTATGTTATAAAATATATATCGGAGCCGATTTCCACAAAATGGAAGCGTACGTCCTGAAATTCAATCCATTTGTGCTGATACTAGCTCTAAATTTAGAAAAGGTATTTCCGAGCTCTATAAGATATCAGGTACCAAATATCATTGTTGTCGAATGCATGTTACGAATGTCAGGGACTTAAACAGCAAATCGGATGAAACCTATATATGGGGGCTATAGATATATCTGAACCGATTTTCATTCAGTCTAAAAGCACAATTAACACGAAATCGGTTGAAGATATATATGGCTATATTCAAATATGAACCGTTCTTGATAACATTTGGCAGATGTATTTCGGTGCTGTATCTGATACCAAACACCATTCTTGTGGGATGCATGCTATGAATGTAAGAGACTAAAACACCAAATCGGATGAGCTATAGCTATATCTGAACCGATTTTTACCAAATTTGATATACTTGCTTTTAGACTGAATTCGATCGGGTGTGCCGAAATTCAGGACTTTTGGACTGATATTGGCCATTTGGTGCACAATTACCCGAAACCGGTTGAAGATATATATGGTAGCTATATCCAAATCTGAACCGTTCTTGATAAAATTTGGCAGTGGTATTTCTGGGCTGTATCTGATATCTGGTACCAAATATGATTACTGTCGGATGCATATCACGAATGTGAGGGACTTTAACCCCCAAATCGAATAAATTTGAACAGATTATCACCAATTTAAAATTATTATTTCGATCAGGTGCAAACGGAATGGCGAACTTAATATAGCCTCCATACTATGTATGGTGGAGGGTATAAAAATTCCAGTTTCTATCATTTTACATTTAACCAAACTGTTCCAATTTTTTTACCATTTATTACAGGTCGCACCCATAGTACACATTTCAAAAACCACCTTCATGTATCAAACTTACTTTCCAACATTAATTTTCATACCAAATTTACTATTTTAGTAGTTCAGTATCATTTTAGAAATTTTCGTCTCCATAAAGTTCGAATTCTCAAACACCCTTTGATTGATCTATCCTACACTCTATCAGTGACTCTCATTCCAAATTTTAGAATTCTCAACAACAGTTTTATTCTGATCCTTACCCTACGGCTATGCAAGTCTATACTACATGGTGGGTCTTGGACCAATATTTCGAGGTGTTAGAAATTTTGGCCAACTCAACACGTTTTAGCGCTAAAATTGCGCTCTTTCTCTAACTACAAGTCGCTGGAAATAAAATCTATTTTAACATTAAATATCAACAAAATACAGGGTGAGATGAAGAAACTGCAACCAAGTTCAGACTGCTGTCATTTATAAACCACCCGTCCGACAGCTGTTAAAATTATTCCACTGACAACTCATTATTGTTTACAAACATTCGTTGTCCAGCAGTTTGTAAACAAACAAAATGATCGTGTTTACTTGCCAAAGAGGTAGCTGAAAATGTGCACCTTCGGTTGGCCACCAGAACTCAAGCGCCAGCCATGGTCGCTCTCCGCTAGTATTAATCGACCGTGGTATTAAAGTAAATGGCGAATATTATCGCGAAAATATTCTGGAGGGTGTATTAAAGCCTTGGGTACGCAAACATTTTTGCCGCAGACCTTGGACATTACAACAGGACTCAGCACGCGCCACCTAAGAATGGTTACAAAATGAGGTTCCTCGCTTCATTTCCAGCGCACAATGGCACGAAAATCTACGGATACCAATCCGTTGGTATCTGGAGTTTTTTGGAAAGCAAGGTTGACACTAAAAAATATCAAAGTGTCGATGACCTCAAGCAAGCGCTTCGCCGGAAATGGGCCAGAATACCGCAGAGCAACATTCGGGCAGCGTGTGTCATTGGACGTTTGAAGGCCAAAAGGTGAGCAATTCGAACAAATCTAATTTTTATTCCAAAATTTGATTTTTTGCCACATTTTTTACTTTCTTTCAATAAAATTTAAAAATTATGGCGTTTGACTTTGTTGCGTTTTATATCTCACCCTGTATATGTATCAATTTTGCCAAAAGAAAAGACACTCATATTTTGTCTAAAATGTTTTTATTGTTTTCTTTTTCAAGTTAATTCGTTAAAGTAATATGAAACTTAGTCTTAGACGAAAGATACACATATATATTTTTAAGGAATTGTTCATGTTCAAAATCACATTAATTCAAACAATTGCAGAATATTTAATTTTACATTTTGAACATTTGCGAGTATAACTAAAAAAAGTGATATTTTGCGTGTTTAAAATGAGTTCACAACACATTTAATAAGCCAAAGTGAACAACAAATACAAATAGGTAATAATCACATATGCTTTTCAAAAATCATAAACCAAACAGTCGAATGAACACTAGATTTGTCATGTTAATTCTTTTATTTATGTTTTGAGTGTTTACAGAAACAAAAAACAGTCACACAATAACGTCATGAATGTTGCCAGTTTATTTTTAAATCTAGTGTTAATCAACTGGAATAAATAAAACATTAATGGTTGCATCTTTTGGCTTTCCTTTTAGGTCAGGCACATACTAACGTACTAATTGATGTTTTCAACACAAAAAAAAAGAAAATAAATTGTTCACATTCGCAATAACACAAATTTGTATTGTTACTTAAATGTATATATATATGATGATATTAAAAAGTTGAAATCTCAAATCATTGCAGACTTATTGGAGTTTTGTATATATTTGTGGTTTTTGTTGGGAAGATTTCTTTTATTTGTTTATTTTTTGTGATATGATTATCAATAATATGTGAAATATGTATATACTACTATAAATATGATATCTGTTAACAAATTATAAAAAAAAAATAGATCAAAAATAAAATGTTCTACTTAAACATATGGTGGTGTAGTGTTGCAAAACGATTGTTTTTTCCTAAATTAAAACATTGGTGTAAATATTAATAAATATACAATAATATTTGATATATGTTTGTGTAGATAATAGTAATAATAAAAATGCTGACTTTTGTTTAATACCAATACAAACATTTTAAACATGATATTCTTTACATTTGTTTCTTTGTTGTTTCAGCGAAGATATTTATATTAAATTAAAAGGAAAATAATTATTCTTTAATTTTTTATATATAAATAGTTCGTTTGCAATTGCCACTCCTAAACATTCGTCTATAAAACATTTACAGGGTTGTTGATGTTACCGTACTGACACCATGCACTAAAATGGTAGGCGGCAATTCAGCTGTTAGTTCTGTCAACAATTCCATATAACGGGCACTGATTTCTCGGAAATCCGGAGAATCAATTGGTGGTGGGGCAGCTAAATATATAAACGATAAAGCTGTTTGATCGGAACGTTCCCGTATAATTTGATTTGCTCTGAAAGTAAAAGGTAGGAATAGTGAGATAAATATTAATTTTATGGCACAAGATATATGCTCTGTTCCAGGACCTGGAATAATCTACTAATTCTTACAAGTTTTTTGAGCGTCAACTTTGTTATAACTTGATAAAAAAAATGAAAAATACTACGCATATGTTGTTTAAATATATATTAAGAATCACTTTAAATTTAGGCATGCTGATTCGACGATACGTATAACTTACAGGGTGAGATGAAAAAACTGCAAACAACTTCAGACTGATGTCATTTCTAAGCCACTCGTCCGACAGCTGTTAAAATTATTCCAGATACAGATCATTATATTTTATACAAGCGTACAAAATCATTTTGGTGAGAATTTTCCAGAAAAAAAGTTATTCGTGCTGGAATTTAAGCTTGATAGTGTGATTTATTTATATTTGGCTGGAAACCCACAAGTGGCTATCGTTAGAGCGCTCCAGCATTTAAATGTGAATAAATCGCTCGTTACCGCGTAGCCTGACGTCAAGGAAGTGGACGGAAGAAAACAGCAACATCAGCAGAAATGGTTCGAAAAGTAAAGAAGCGACTTGATCGAAACCCGTGTCGCAGTGGCCAAAAATGGCTCGTGAGCTAAACATATCGCAATATTCCATTCGGCAAATATTGAAAAAAGAGCTCGGGGTAAAGTCATTGAAATTCTAAAAAGTGCAAGAACTTACACCACAACAGAAACAAAATAGACTGAAAAGAGCTAAAGAGTTGCTTCGCTTGGCCGAAATTGGTGAACTGCCGAATTTGGTTTTCTCCGATGAGAAAACATTCGTTGTCCAGCAGTTTGTTAACAAACAAAATTATCGTGTTTACTTGTAAAAGAGATCAGCTGAAAATGTGCAGAACTCAAGCGCCGGCCATGGTGATGGTGTGTGCTGCCATAACAGCCAATGGTCGCTCTCCACTCTTATTAATCGGCCGTGGCATCAGAATAAATGCCGAATATTATTGCGAAAATATTCTGGAGGGTGTATTTAAGCCTTGGGCACGCGACATTCAACAGGACTCAGCACCATCGTACTCAGCACGCGCCGACCAAAAATGTTTACAAAATGAGATTTCTCGCTTCATGTCCAGCGCACAATAACCACCAAAATCTCCGGATACCAATCCGTTGGACTATTGTGTATGGGGTATGTGTCGATCACCTCAAGCAAGCGCTTCGCCGGGAATGGGCCAAAATACCGCAGAACAACATTCGGGCAGCGTGTTGCGGTTTCATTGGCCGTTTGAAGGCCAAAAGTGACCAATTCGAACAAATGTAAACTTATTCTAAAATTTGATGCTATTTTCGACATTTGTTGCTTTCATTCAATATAATTCATAAATTCGTCAATAAAATTGACTTTGTTGCAGTTTTTTATCTCACCCTATAGTTTAGTGTTATTTTTTATGTCAATTCGTTTATACTTAAAAAAACACGAGCGTGAATATCGAATACAAAAACCAAATAAGTGACTGACCGGCCCCTACCACAATGGTGAATGTCTGAAATAATGCAGCAACTGCAAGAACCAACATAAGCCACTATGCTATATGTAGATGGCAAACAATGGAACTCCAAAGTGACTAAGTGACAAACTGTGAACTGGAACGGCGAAAAAGAAACTAATGACCCTGTTTTTATTGTAACGCTTCTTACCTTTGCATATACAACAATGAACGATTGAGATTATCTTCTGTAACACTTCCTTCTGTGGCTTCAGCTGATTGTGTAAATTGCTTCAATATACGAGAATGTCGAGTAAATTCAGTATCACGTGCCCATTCTTGAATCTAAAACACACAATATATAAACAGTATTTATAAATTAAATAAGTTAAGATTTATTGTGAGCATACCTCCATTATCTGGGCATTAATTCTCAGTGATTTTAGCGTTTGTTCCAATTTCATGCGTGAGAATATTTCCATTTGTGGCAGGTTTGGATCCTGAGTATCAAATTGTGCCGTTGAATTTGTATCATTGGTTTCACACAAAAATACACGTAATGTCAAATGTTTCCATTTGGCCAACATAATAACAGCCAATTGCATCATAAACAGTGATACAACATCGAAAGGATTTTCAGTTTTAGGATCGAACACATTAATTGGCCATACATCAATATATTTGACATGTTTGCTCCTGCAAAGAGAAAATGTATTTTTTAAAACAAAAAAATTAAATTTACTTTGTTTCAAATTTTCAAATTACTTTGATATAAAATGTTTATCCAGGCGATGGAAATGTCTGCACAAGCATAGATTTTTCTTCATTCGCAAAATATCACTAATGATTTCCACATATTCCGTAACGTCAATATGCTTTTCTTCACCATCACGTCTTATGGGGAAATTTTGCATATCACCCGTGTTGAAGCCATCTGTTTTATAGGGAGATGTTGATCTGAAAAAATACGATTAATCAAATGAGAAATCAATGTTAGTTATGCACACTATTTAACTTACGATTGAAAGAAATCTTTGGGTGCTTCGTTATCATAGAAGCCCAGTACTATGGTGTTTGGCTTCATGGCACCAATGCCGGATAGACGTATCAAATGTTGCACTCCTTCACGCACCGAATTGGCCAGAGTAGTTTCGGCAAAAGCCTTAACACGCATATGATCGACAAACGATAGCCACTGTTTATTATCTTCTATGGTTGCATCATCCAGATCGGTGTGATTACCCACGCGTACGTGTCCAATGATATATAAGCCACTTTTCTTCATATCATTGACAAAGTCTACCAAAGGACAACTGGAACGCGGCGAGGATACCAGCAATAACATTTGTGGACGCCAAAATTTCACATGATCCTTACGTGGATCTAACATTAGCAAATATTTACGGACCTAAGAACAATTTTGAGATATATTACAAATTTATCGTTGGAATTCGGTGTAATATCACATACCTGATGGAACATTAGAGCTTGCGAAATTGAGCCCCATTGAGCCGATTGTGTGGCTGGCGAAAAGAGATGCAGAGCAATAACCAACAGCAAACACAAAATAATACTTGATGAAGCATATATGGGATTGATAACAAACATCATCACCAGTGTACCAATCAAGCCGAACAGACATGTGTGCCAAGAGAAATATTTAAACAATGGTCGGAAATTGGGTGCTCCCGTTAATTCAATGCCCAAGCAAGCTAAGTTGGTGGCTAAATATGACAACATGAACAACACTGAATTGATTTGGGCAATCATATTCAATGATCCAATCAACAAAATACATTCTACCAACACCCAACTGGACACTACAGCAGCAATAGGATTTCCTTTCCATGTTCCCTTCAGAATGAAATTCAAAAATGAACCAAACACTTGATCTTTTGATAATGCCTCCAAAATACGACTGGAACCTATTAAATTACTCAGGCCTGTCGAAAATGTGGCCGTCAATATGCCAATAGCTGTGAAGGGGGGCCAAAAGTTGACATACAGCAAAAAGAGATAATTGTTTTGCATGGTTTCGTGGGGAGTGGTGAAAGCCATTAAGAACGATAAGATTACATAAGAGACAAATGTAAATGCCACAGCCGACAATGTTCCCAACGGAATGCTTTTCGATGGACTCTTTAGTTCACCTGACATATTGGCTCCAGCCATAATACCAGTAACACCAGCAAACAATACACCGAAAGTTGTTGCAAAATCCACCATTTTTCCCTTTGACGTATAATCCTGGGTATAACTTTCACCTAAATTATTGGTTAAAGTTGTAGTATTTAGGCCAGTGTATATTAGTTGAGTTGTGTTCGGTAGTATTGTATTTTCATCTGGAGTAGGAACCTAAAAAGAAAAAAAGGTCAAAATATTGATAGGTGCAGGCCAATAAAACATGTCTGAGAAATACAAAAGGATGTACCAAAAACAAGTAAAATAGTATCAGTCGGTATTGTCGACAGATGTATACCCCAGCCTTGAGTTTTGATTCTGCAAACAGTTCACCATTCCGAAGCAGTTGGCCAATATTGACCAATTCGTATCTGGCCTAAGACTGATATAAATATCAAAAAGTGCCAGATTCGGACTAATCGACCACTTCCTACACTTTTTCTGAGATATGTGCAATTTTTTGGAGAATGTGGAAATATGCGTGAGATAACAAATATAGCGGACCGAAGTATTCCATTTTCATACTTCATCTAATACAGATAAAATATTGGTATGTGCAAAATTTGAAGGAAATCATAAATTTCGATATTCTGGTTAAGATAAGTATTTAGATGTAGCCAGTAGTAAAGAATCGCCGAATTGTTTCGCAAGTTATGACAGATATAAGTATTGGAAATTGTGACCCTTTGTGGGTGAGGTACCAGAAGGGGTTCGCAGTTATATATCACCTTCACAACAGATCTTGTGTTAGCAAAAAGGTTTGCACGTGTGAAATTTGAAGAGAGTTGGATGCTTATTTCGCTTTCTTTGAGCGTTTTTCAAAATCTTGAACCCTATGTGGGGGAGGTACCAGAAGAAATGGTCCGATCTCTACCATCTTTATAACAGATCTTGTGTTGACGGAAGTATTGAGATGTGCCAAGTCTGAATGGAATCGGATGTTAATTTCGTGTCTTATGAGCTTCATGAATATTCAAAATTTTGACCCTTTGTGGGGAAGGTACCAGAAGGAGTGGACCGATATATTCCATCAATACACCAGACCTTGGGTTAATAAAAATATTGTGATGTATGTAATTTGAAGACAATCGGACACTTATATGACATTTTATAAGGGTTATAATTATTCAAAATTTTGACCCTTTGTACTGGATGGAGTGGAATGATATTGTCCATTTTCGCACCTGACCTAGCATTGATGCAATATTAGAATTTCCAAAGTTGGATCAAAATCGGATTATACTTTCTCTTTCTGTGCAATAAATTATTTTCTTTGAAAATGTTGACATTTTGTGGGGGAGGTACCAGAAGGAGTGGACCGATATTGCCCATCGCCGAACTCGATCTAAGTTTGACAATAATATTGCTATGTTCAAATTTTGGACCAAATCGGATATTTCCTTTGAGAGTTATCGTGCGCACCAACCAGACAGATCTAAGTTTGAAAATAATATTACTATGTTCAAATTTTGGACCAAAGCGGATATTTCCTTTGAGAGTTATCGTGCGCACCAACCAGACAGACAGACGGACGGACGGATATCGCTAGTTCGACTCCAAACGTTCTGAAACTCTTTGGACCAAAAGACCTAGGGTCTAAACCCGTTATTTCGATGAGGCACGTTTTGGTCGTATCAAATGATATGGCTGAGGGTATACTAACAATTTTTAGGTAGGTATCTGATTTTCCGCTATATTTTTAGTGGCTATTGGAATCATAGTGAATAGAAAAGTCATATGGAACCGAACTTCTGGAAAATATTTAAATAATATGACTTGATCATCATCATCAGTATCTAAATTATATTTAATCTACATACTAACATATTTTTTTGAAATCATAACAAATTACTTCCTTCTTTTTCACACTGACTCATAACTTTTGAAATCCATACTGATATTTTTGAAAGGGATTAACTGATAATTAAATAGATATCAATATGTGACCTCATATCTAATTTTAAAATTCATGCTTCATAAGAAATTTTGGTCAAGAAATCAACAAATGCAATAATTGGGCGTCATAAGTGTTATAACATGAGCCAGAAATAGAAATTGTAAAATTACAAAAAGAAGATAAAAACGATGAGTAACAAAATCAATTGTTTTGGTTGCAATATATCTATCATATTCATATGTGTTAATGGATAGCATACACGTCTTCTGTTCGGTAACAGGCATAGAATCAAAGCAATTTTTTCCATGTATGCAGTTATTGACGATAAGCTACTGGGCATTAATGATAGACAAACAGACCAACAAAAGTCTACAAATGTGATAACAAAGTGGTAAAATATAAATGTTAATTTCTATGTGAAAAAATATACACATTATTTGTTGGTTTTTCTTGGAACATTCTGTGAAGAAAAAATGTAAACTAAAAATAAAATCCCTGCTTTATACAAGCAAGCAATGACTTACCAATTTTGGACCTTCAGCCAAAAAGCTTATGTATGTAGCCAACAAACACACTGTGACAATGCCCAAAATTAATACCGAGGTTTTTGCAAAAAGCGAAGCTCCGATAAGGCATACCAACAGCATTGAGGTATTTATTAGAGTACAAAATAGGAAACGCCACCATGATCCATCTGGTAAAAATCCCTCGGCTCCAGAAAAATAGCCACCGGGTCCAAAGTTATTCATGATACCTTCAACACAACCCGATATGGCCATAGCACAACCAACAACATTGGCCAAAAAGAACAATGTACCAATTGAACCACCAAATTCCAGGCCCAACGTTCGACTTATCATAACTGAAAGAACAAAATTTGGAATATTATGTGAAACACAATGGCATGTTTGAAAAAAGAAAATACTTACAATATACACCTCCGCCTTCAATGGCGCCATTAGTGGAAATTGCGCACACAGAAGCCACTGTGAAGAGTAATATAATGTAGGCGATTACAAATTGCAAAAGTGTTACATATAAACCGGCGTTGCCCACAATAAAACCTAAAAAAATAAGAAGATTATAAGCCTGAGTTAATATAAAACTGATAATTTGTTTCATAATGTATGAATGTGTAGTCCATTTATAATATATGTATTTATCATATAGAACACGTTATTGTAAGGCCATATTAAAATAATGATAATATAAAATGTTTCATAAATAATACCATAATACTCTAAATACAGAGTGAGATGAAAAAACTGCAACCAACTTCAGACTGCTGTCATTTCTAAGCCACTCGTCCGACAGCTGTTAAAATTATTTCAGTGACAGTTCATTATATTGTTTACAAGCGTACAAAAGCATTTTGGTGAGAATTTTCCAGAAAAAAATTATTCGTGATGTAATTCAAGCGCGATAGTTTGATTTCTTTTTATTTGGCTGGAAAACCACAATTGGCTATCGTTAGAGCACTCCAGCATTTAAATGTGAATAAATCTTTTGTGTCTCGTACCATCGCTCTTTACCTTGGTCCTGGTAACGTAGCCCGACGTCAAGGAAGTGGAAGAAAGAGAACAGCAACATCAGCAGAAATGGTTCGAAAAGTAAAGAAGCGACTTTACCAAAACCCGCGTCGCAGTGGCCGAAAAATAGCTCGTGGGCTGAACATATCGCAATATTCCATTCGACAAATATTGAAAAATGAGCTTGGGGTAAAGCCATTGAAATTTCATAAAGTGCAACAACTTACACCGCAACAGAAAGAAAATAGACTAAATAGAGCTAAAGAGTTGCTTCGCTTGACCGAAAGTGGTGAACAGCCGAATTTGGTTTTCTCCCATGAGAAAACATTTGTTGTCCAGCAGTTTGTAAACAAATAAAATAATCGTGTTTATTGCCAAAGATCTCCGGATACCAATCCGTTGGACTATTGTGTCTGAAGTATTTTAGAAAGCAAGGTTGGCACTAAAAAATACCAAAGTGTCGATCACCTCAAGCAAGCGCTTCGCCTGAAATGGCCCAAAATACCGCAAAGCAACATTCAGGCATCGTGCGAGGGTTTATTGGCCGTTTGAAGGCTTTGAAAAGTTCCAAAATGCGTTAGATCGGAAGTGAGTTGGAAAAGAAAAACAAATTTCTATATAAATATAAATCTAAATAGACGTACTTTTTTGGGTCCTGGAATCGAGGATAATTAAAGGTTACTAAAAATAACAAAAATCAACTTCTTTGTCTAATGAATGAGAAAAGTTTTAATTTATAGATGCCCAAATTTTTTAAATACATCATTGTTTAACAAATAATACTTCCTTTAGAAAAAAAACGAGGTACCCACTTGAAGTTGATCCCGACAAAATGACAAAATCGGTAGGGAACATTTACCAAAAGGTGGACCTGTATTGAAAAGAGTTAAACAACATACTGAGAAACCATAGGGAACTATGTGGGTGGCTTTCGTCAGTCCTATCATCCATTTTCCTTCTGTTCGAGAGTATCTTAGCCGTTACCCACAGTGTATTCATATTTGTTCCAACGCTTTAGATGGTCTTGCCGCTTTTTCTGCTTGTGCTTCTGTACAAACCTGTTGACTTCAACTGTCAGTTCACTGACTCTTGGATCAGTAGGTTTGACGAAGTCGCGCTACCTTTGCTGGGAAATTAAGTTTTATTTCGGGTACAGCTTTGATGATGTCCGGAAAATCTTTTCTGTTAACCAAATGTCAGAAGTGTTGGACATTACTTTGCAACGAAGTTTGGTGAACTTTCTGAATTCTGACCAGTGGTCTTTCCCATGGTTAAGGAAAATGTGGCGTTAAGAGGTTATAAAATCGTGCGATCTGAGAGAGAATTATGGGGATATGGTCTGACCCAAAAGAAACGACGTGGCACTATGTTTATGTCTGGCGAACTGTGACACTCTCGTCTTATATGGATAGGGGCATCCCCGTATGCCTCTGTCTTTTAGTGATCTTTAACTTTTTTGTGGAAGTATAAAAAGTTAAGGTCGTATTATTGCCCTATCCTATCCAACAGACACCGTTCTTAGTACCTCGGCAATTGTAAAAAAAAAGCTTGTACCGATTTCGAAACATTTTAAATATTCTTGATAATTCAAAACTAATACTTGTGATATCGTTGCTACATTTCCAAAAAAACCTAACGGATAGGTAACAAGCCATCACTTAACTCATTCCTTTCGATGTCGACCAACTTTTTTAAACAACGTCGTAGCAGAATACCATCATATGTACATAATAGGCTAATACCCACCTCAGTGTCATCAATCAATGAATATGAATGACTAACATCAACCTCATTAGCAGCTACGAAAACGCAATAACAAATAATAAAAAAGTAACAATTCAAAAAGGAATAAGATATAATACAAATATTAAACAAAAAATCTTAAATATAACTTACCGACACGAATAAATACCAAAGCACTAAACATAGATAAAGCTACAGGGCTAAATACGCCAGCGAATGTACCCAGCGTTCGACCACTTCGGTCGGGATCTTGCATGCCGAATTCCACATAGCCATGTTCGTTGGCATTCTGTGAGGGTGGTCTGCGTTCAACACTATTATTCGAACCGAAAAGTGTTCCAAATGAACGCATCATCGATGATGCCCTTCCGGCTGTTCGAGGAGCAGCAATAGGTGCCGTTTCTGGATCACCATTTATACTGGTCTGTGAATTCATTGTTCTGCTTTTGTTTTACAATCATACAATAACAAAGGCCGCCGCCGGACAGTTGGATCTCGACAACCGCTGCCTGCACTGAACCAGATCGAAGTAGTTTCAAGTAAAGTATCGGTGGCTGACTTTTTCCCTTTTTTAATAAAAACAAGACGCCCACTAATGCAAATTTACAATACAATAGCTTTTGTAGATGACGACAACAGTAGGTCTGTTGACGCTGCCGTCACCACTTTTTTATTTGGATACCAGATATCGCGAATGATGCTGTTTCTTTTTGTTTTAATTTTTGGCTGATTAATAATTCACAAACATACACAAACAACCGAAGACAACAACACGAACAGCTGGGTTAAGCTTGCAATGCACAGTAACAATTTTAATTTGGCATGTAATTTGGTTTAAGCAGGAGAAAGCTGCTGCTTTGGCCAATTATTTTTCTTTTACTTCTATTTTCTCACTGCTCCACCATATTCGTGTCTTTACTGAAAATTGTTCTATTTTCCACGGTTAAAATTGTTTTTATATTTCTTTTGTCAATGCGTCATCTCATCCGTTTGTTTATTTTCTGATCAGAAACAACGACGCCCGCAAATATGTGAAGTCTAATAAGAATGAAAAAAGACTGAACTTAAAATGTTGGCGGCGGAGATTTTTGGGGCCAGAAAACAATGCTGCTTTTATTTACGAGACGGCGGCCGGAGCTATGAATTTAGTATCGTCGGCGTTATGTAATTCGATGTACTCAGTAAACATAAGTGGTTTTATATACACAGTACAGTATCAAAATGTACAGTACATCACTAAAGTGTGAGATTACACTACTAAACAAATTTGGCCGGGAAATAAATTAATAGCAATCCTCATACAATGAGTACAAGGTAATGCAAGTTGACTCTTCTTTATGTTTGAATGTTAGCAAAAAATGAATTGAACGTCACGTATTTTTAAGAATGTCGAGTTTCTAATAGGACTAATGGCACATTTATACTATTGAAGATTAACCCACAGTGTTTATTAGATACACTGGGTTACAGTACGTTTATGTATATGAGGGTTAACCCACTGGATTTGGATTTAAATTGTCATATCCATTACTTTTACTTCAAATAAATCCTCTCAAAGTAGGTTAACCCTACAAATAGTTCTAACGTAAACATGGCATTCATCCATTGTAGAAGAATATAGGTAGACGCATCGACACAGATCATGGTAGAAATTTGTAAAAATTGTTTTAAATTCATATTATAACAACTTCTGATTTGCGTCGTATAAAAAAACATTTAAAAATCCACTTATTTTTCATAGAACATTTTAAAAATTTTGACATATCAATGTTCCCAAGCGTTGATGTATCTACCTTTATTCTTCTACCATGACACAGCTGCTGGGACAATGAACTGTCAAACCAATTTTGGAATTAAAAATGTTGAATGAAAAATGTAGAACAAATTGAAAAACGCGTATTATAATAACCTCCGAATGACGTCGTATAAGAAAACATATAAAAATCTACTTATATTTGAAAAGACATTTAAACATTTTTGACATATCAATGTTCCTAAGCGTTGATACATCTACCTGAATTGTTCTACCATGGGGTTAATCTCATGGTAGAAGAATACAGGTAATCGCATCGACATATATTATGGCTGGTTATTATATCATTCCGATAGATAACAAAATTATTTTGGCGGACAAAAATATCATTTGTCATTATTACAAGTTTCATGTAAATATGAACTGTCCGATAAGCAAAAGGTCAGAACATCTTCCCTTTATCTTTTAATGTAAAGTGTATTGACTCATGTTGCAATATTTTATATTAAAAAATGGACAACGCAAATCGTTTATTTTATCTTGAAGACTTGATTAAAGATTTACTTCACGAAATTTATTGCAGATTCGCTTTAAGTTACTCCCAGTTTAAGTTTCTTCCAATTACTGATTTTGAAAATATCATGGTACAATGAAATAAAGGTAACCTCAATTCTAATAAGCATTCCCAGCTCTGCATTTTCTGTATTTACCTTCTCAATTTTCACTGCATAGAGAACAGTTTCCATCTCCAATTTTATGTATATACTATGGATATATGAATATAGATATTGACAATGAGATGTTGCCAAAGGTAGAACTTTGAAAAAATTGTAGACATAAGATTGCATGACTCTATCTTCTTAGTTCTACGATGTGAAAATATTTTGTTTTTATTTTTCAAAACAACAAAAACATACACAAAATTGGCAGAAGTCGGGCACACTTATAAAAAAATTGTAATCAGCTGGGAGCTCTACCTCACCTTTTTATTGTACCATGATAAAAATCAAAATTAAAAAAAAAATATGTTTTAAATTGACCTTAAGCCAAAATAAAGTTATGAAGTTTTTAAGATGTTTTGGAAAAAAGTTGATTTCTATGCGTTTTCTTATACGACCCAAATCAAAGGTTTTTATGATATAAGTTGATTTCTATGCGTTTTCTTATACGACCTAAATCAATGGCTTGTATGATATATTTTTCAACAATTTCTACATTTTTTACATTAATTTTTCATTCAACATTTTTAATTCCGAAATTGATTTGACAGTTCATTGTCCCAGTAGTTGTGTCGATGCCACTACCGGCATTCTTCTACCATGCTCCCTATAATGGAGGATATAAAAATACAATCTATTTGTAGATGTGCCCACCTTATGCTAGGAACACAATTGGAGCGAACGACGAATTTCGCCCTACGCGGCGACAAAATAAGCCGCGAAAATTCGTCGTATGGAACACAATACCGACGAAATTATAAAACAGCTGATGAAGTTGTTTACTTTTTGCTCATTTGTTGACTACAATGAATTATACAAGAACACATAATTCTTTACGTTCTCTATTATAATTTCACTTATGTCCATCTTCTCTATTATAAATTCACTGATATCCATCTTCACTCAGGCGCAAGTACACAAATAAATAAACAAATTAATTATGTTTTTTTTATACGAGTAACAGATAGTAGAGTGACCATAACAAATTTTAAAGTAAAATGTAACTTTATTTACTAAAACACATAAAATTCGTACAAGTATGGCCACCTTGTACTGTTTTGTTCGCCGGTCGCCGGCGTATGAAATAGAAATAAAGCTAATTGAGTTCGCGGCGACCGACGAAATTTTCGCCGGTGCCGTGATTGTGTGCACTTCCATATACACATATGTGTTTTATTTTTGACGACGAACATACGCCGCGAAAAAATTCGTCGTTCGCTCCAATTGTGTTCCTAGCATTATTTCATTGTACCATGGGCATTTACTAATGATTGTTGTTCCCACACTAGCTCACTTGTTCTTTTCAGTGAATCTTACAACAAAGCTGGTTGATTCCTGAACTATATATCACTACGGCAGAGCAGCAGCAGAATATTAGCAGAGAAAACGTTTACCATATAATTTTCGGAGGTTCCAAGTATTTTCTAAAAAAAAACAATTTAATTAAATATAAATGGGTGGCGGTGATAGAAAGCATCGTTCCCGTTCACGCGAAAGAGAACGATCGCGTGAAAGAGATCGTTCACGTGAAAGGGAACGTGAACGCGCAAGAGATTCTCGTGGTGGCGGTGATAGGAGAACAACCCGATATTCTCGATCCCGTTCTAAGGAACGTTACACTAGTGGCAGAGGTTCCGGCAGGTCCCCTGAAAGATCTTCAAATCGCGATAGGAATCGGGATAGGTCTAAGTCGCGAGAACGCCAAAGGGATTACGAGTCATCACGAAGCCATGACAAGAGACGCGATGAGAACAGGAGCGAAAGACCATCTAAGGATGTAATCATAATCGACGATGATGAACTGGCGGCTGAAGAAGATAAGAAGGAGAAACCCAAAAAGGTTGAACCACTATCTTTGGAAGAGCTATTGGAAAGAAAAAAGAAAGAAGAAGAAGCTCGAAGCAAGCCTGTATTCTTGACCAAAGAACAACGAGCCGCCGAGGCTTTAAAACGCAGACAGGAAGAAGTGGCAGCAATGCGAGCAGGGCAAGCAAGTGGCAGTAGACCTGGAATTTCCGGTGCGTCATCCTCCAGCAGTGCTGTTGATAACAGTTTTAGTATCTCTGCCCGCCGAGTGGATAGAAGTGAACGAGGGTCTGGACGTGAAAGAGAAAAAGAACGAGACAGAGAACGCGAGTCGCGACGGGCAGATGATCTCTCACAAAAAGACAAAGAAAAGGAATTGGAAGCCATAAGAGAACGTTATTTGGGTATTGTTAAGAAGAAAAGAAGGGTCAGACGCTTGAACGACCGCAAATTTGTTTTTGATTGGGATGCAGCCGAGGACACATCGGTTGATTACAATAATCTCTACAAGGAACGTCACCACGTGCAGTTCTATGGACGCGGTAATGTTGCCGGTATAGATATTAAGGAACAGAAAAGAATGCAAAGTCAGTTCTATGGTGATCTTTTGGAAAAACGTCGAACCGAGGCAGAAAAAGAACAAGAGAAAGTTCGTCTCATTAAGGTAAAGCGTAAAGAAGAAAAACAGAAATGGGATGATCGCCATTGGTCCGAAAAAGACATTGATGAAATGACCGAACGCGATTGGCGTATTTTCCGTGAAGATTACAATATAACAATAAAAGGCGGCAAAATACCTAACCCCATTAGGAGTTGGAAAGAATCGGGTTTCCCCAAAGAACTTTTGGAAATCATCGATAGTGTCGGCTACAAAGAACCAACACCCATTCAAAGACAGGCCATACCCATTGGTTTACAGAATCGTGATATAATTGGTGTTGCTGAAACAGGTTCGGGTAAGACGCTGGCTTTTCTAATACCATTGCTGGCCTGGATTCAGTCTTTGCCGAAAATCGAACGTCTTGAGGATGCCGATCAGGGTCCCTATGCTATTATCATGGCTCCCACGCGTGAATTGGCTCAACAAATCGAAGAGGAAACAGTAAAGTTCGGTCAACCATTGGGCATTAGGACGGTTGTTGTTGTGGGTGGTCTATCGCGTGAAGAGCAAGGCTTCCGCTTGCGTATGGGTTGTGAAATTGTTATTGCTACACCTGGTCGTCTCATTGATGTTTTGGAAAATCGCTATTTGGTTTTAAATCAATGTACCTACATTGTATTGGATGAAGCCGATCGTATGATTGACATGGGTTTCGAACCAGATGTCCAGAAAATTTTGGAATATATGCCGGTGACAAATCTTAAACCAGATACAGAAGAAGCTGAAGATGCCTGCAAATTGATGGAAAATTTCTATTCTAAAAAGAAATACAGGTATGTTTGGGAATAGTTCAGAACCATTCGAAAATTTACAACTTTTCCACACACTCTATCTCGGCTTCATTTTTCAGACAAACTGTGATGTTTACAGCTACTATGCCACCCGCAGTTGAACGACTGGCACGCTCTTACTTAAGACGTCCTGCCACTGTGTACATCGGTTCCGTTGGTAAGCCAACCGAACGTACAGAACAAATTGTCTACATGATGGGCGAAAACGACAAACGCAAGAAACTCATCGAAATTCTTAAAAGAGGTGTTGATCCACCAGTCATTATTTTTGTCAATCAAAAGAAGGGTGCCGATGTTTTGGCCAAAGGCCTGGAAAAATTGGGCTACAATGCATGTACGCTTCATGGTGGCAAAGGCCAAGAACAGCGTGAATACGCTTTGGCTTCTTTGAAGGGTGGCAGCAAGGATATATTGGTGGCCACCGATGTGGCTGGCAGAGGTATCGACATTAAAGATGTCTCGTTGGTTATTAACTATGATATGGCCAAAACAATTGAGGATTATACCCATCGTATTGGTCGTACTGGCAGAGCAGGCAAAAATGGTGTGGCTATTTCGTTTGTTACAAAGGATGATAGTGCTCTATTCTATGACTTGAAGCAGGTGGTAATGGCCAGTCCGGTTTCAGTTTGCCCTCCAGAGTTAATGAACCACCCTGATGCCCAACACAAACCGGGTACCGTGGTTACCAAAAAGAGGAGAGAAGAAAAAATTTTCGCATAAAAATATTTGTCGGCATTTTAAATATTAATCGACCAATAAAAATGATATCAAACACAGAGAATTTGTTTTTTAAACAAAATTTTCTATTATCTTATTAATCTTAAAAATAAGGCATGTCGACTGTCTCTTGACTCAAATGGTAAGTATTTATCGTAGAAATTCAATACCACTTCTTCCATTTTAAACCCAAATTTTTGATAGAGTACAACTGCAGGATTTGTGGCAGACACGTGTAGCGTTATATCTTTGGTCATACATGTCTGAAAAAAGGGAATATGAGATGAGTTTAATAGTTAGAAAATCAAAATATTTTCGCCAACCTGTATTAAATGATATAGCATAAACGTTCCTATGCCGCTACGGCGCCAACCGGGTCTAACGGCCATGAAGGATATATAAGCCTCATTAAAACCGACATCGGGCACAAGGAAACCACAGCCAATGACAAGTTTCTTATATAGAGCTACTACACTGTAATCTGGATAGCTCAAACATTCGGACACTAGAAAGAAAAATTTAATTAAAAATATATATGGATTTAAATGAATTAAAAATTTACTATCAATTCCTGGCCAAAATTCTGTTTGCAATAACGAATTAACAGCGGCTATATGATTTGGCCGCACATAGCAAAAGTCTATGGGGGCACGAGATGGATATTTGTTATTGACTTTATATTGTAGTTCACACATAAGCTGTAAAAAAAGAATAAAAGTATTCAAAACTTTCCGAAACATAAATCCAGCTATACATACTTTTAAAAATGGTGGAAAATATTTGCTATTACGAAATATATATGGATGTAAAATCCTCTGAGTATATGGTGATTCAAAGAATTCACATTCGAATGACCCTGCAATACGAGCATGAAATGAACGTTTTTGATCCTTTGATGACAAAGAAATTAACTGAAATTGGAAACAAAACATTATATGGTTTGTAAATTTTGTTTTTAATGATTTTCTTTACCTGATAGCGATCTATATGTCTTGTTTTGTCATTTTGTACCTTGGTCAAATGTCGACCATTAACAAAATCATCCAAATTAAACAAGGGTTTGCCATGGGCTCTTTTCCATTCCCTTATGCAAAGTTTTCGATAAAATCTCCGGACAAATGATGGTATTCGAATCTTACATTTGTCTTCCAATGAAAAGATACGTCGCAATTTTCGCAACAGTTCTTTCTCTTCGTATTCACTCATACGTGTTAAACTATAACGAAAAACACTCAATTACAAAGTATAAAACAACTATCTTATCGACTTACTCCATATTATTTTGTTGCGATTCATTTGACCCATCTTCAGTTAGTTTCTCCTCTTCATCAGAATCTCCTGTATGTCTTTCCACCAACCATGGCCATTGTCGCCTTGGTTGCTTGGTAAATAAACTAGGTTTGCAGTCTTTTAATAGTGATTGTACATCTTCATCATTACATCTATCTTCGTTATCTTCCTCATCATCATCACTGATTTGAGTTTTTTCATCAACAATTTTAGAATTATCGTTTAATTCGCCATCCGATCTTATTTCTTTTTCTTCTTTTATTATTTTCCCAAGCTTCCTAGGACTATGTGAGCCTGTTTTAGTTTCACTACCATCATTCATCAGTTGCTGGAAATTTGTAACTTGAACGATGCGTGGTTGAAATTCTTCATTGTCATCATCGGATTCTTCTTCATCATTATTTTCTTCTTGCTTTTGTGTCAGAGGATGATGTTCAAGTTTTTGTTCTGTTGTTTCGGAATATGTAAGACTTGCTACCATACTAGATGAATCTGTGTTTTCAGTATCAAAATTAGATGTTTCAATTTGGGTATTTTGGAAATTAACTGAATCTTGTATAGGCGAATGATGACTGGAAGGAAGTAACGTAAAAAAAGTAAAACGGGTTTTAGATATGCTCTGTTTTTGATATGTATTACTTACAGTGACATATCAGCTCCCGCAGCATTGATATTTTTTCCAAAACCAATTTCGGAATTTTCCGTATAAATATTTGATGTTGCCTCTGTTTCGGGTTGTGTAAATTGTGTGTTTGTAAAGAAACTATTTAATTTATCGTTAAGTAATAGCTGAACATTAAAATCACTATACAAATGCCCATTTAAATCCATTGATCCAGTTTTAACCGAGGCCGGAATGCTTTCAAGAAAATTAGCATTATCCGTACTTGCCTCCAGTAATGGCATCATATCATTCTTTCCCGCACACTCAACTAATGGCTCGGGAGCAATATTTGGCAGACTATTGAACATATTTAAGTCATCACTGGCTAAACTTTCGGCTAGGAAATCCATTAAACTTGACTGGACGGTGTTCAGTGGCATTGATGGGTCTTCCAGCGGTAACAGGTTATTTGGGTTGTTTATTTTGTTTAACAAATGATCGTCGTCTAAAACATCTAATTGTTTGGCCACTTTTGGTTTACGACCCATGTAAGGCCTGCAAAATTGTAATTGGTTATTATTTTAATTACATGAAGCTAGGTTAGTTTCTTTTTTAAACGCAATAAAACCCTACATCATACGACTGCATGTGTACTTGGTTATTAGCTCGTCCTCTGAGTCGGCACTTTTAATACGCTTCGAATCCTGTTCATTATTTGATGTATCGCTTCCATAGTCTTCTTCTTTTTGGCGTTTATCGTTGCGTATTTGTTGGCGCTCCAAGCATTGCTGTTCATCTAAAATATATATTTTATATAAAGTGAAAAAAAGGTTTTTGATTTCCCCTATCTACAGAGGAATCTTTGTAATTTAAATTTACTCATAATGTAAAAAATCACTAACCCGAGAAAAGCATAAGTCAATTTTTTCACTTACATATACTGAAAATGTATTTTGGGGTTTTGTTGTCAAGGGTGAGTTTCCACCATCCTGTTTCTTCAAAAAGTGTCTGGCCAGAAGTAAAATACTTGGGACTTTAAAGAGAAAATAGATGCAATTTCAAACAAACTTTTTTATTCAACTCGCTCACCTATTGTGCGACAATGCACCCGATATTGATCCTGTCCATTTTTTACGTCTTTTACTAAAGAATCAAAACAAGTTATTATTATAGCCTTAAATATAGGTTGAAAGTCTACCCACATAGTTGGATCAAATAAATAATCCCAATTTTTATCTATGAAATTGACAATGTGTGTTCTCCAATGGAAATATCCATGACGACTTAAGCCCTTCGATTTGATTGAAAGATTGTACAGCGTTAATGTTATGACCATTAGCCAAGGCATACGTTGGCGCACATATTTCTCATGTGTTCCATTGATGACCTCACTAGATGTGGATGGTCCTTCGTAGTGTAATTGCATACACTTGGCACAGGTAAAATCAAAAAAGACATCACCCATTAAGTCACCTGGTCTAGAGCGTCTCAGACACTTCACATGCACATCACCGCCACATTCTCCGCAATGCAAATAGTCGTCATCATTTATGTTCAATGAACAATAGGAGCATTGTAACGTTGTCATCGGTTTTGTGTTAAAATTTTTAATTTTCTTTTCACATCTAAATAATGATTCCGTTTTAACAACAAAAAAATCACACGCCGTATTGTTTGTTTATTTTTGTATGTAGTGTTGCCAGTGGTTCGATAAATGTTATCGATAAGAAGCACGACAACATATCACATAGCAATACATCAAGTTCATGAGGTATAAAGACAAGGGCCTCAATTCGCCTACTGCAAACACCAAAAATATGGCTCAATAAGAAAGTTTGCTCAACTTCAAAGAAAGTAGAAAAATGCCACTCTGTGCTGGAGTTTTATAGTGTCCAAAAGAATTTTAAATATTCAACAGTTGGTTTTTTTTTTTTATTTTTCATTTTTGACAAAATTCTTATATTGGGGAAAACCCGCGAAACGAGAATGGAATTTTGGGGTTATTCCACAAGATTGAATATAAAATATAAAACAATACATTAAGTAGGACAATACATTTTTATCCCAAAGTTGTACAATGTGTTGACCATCAACGTCGAAAATATGCTTTAATTTTGCAACAGTATTTGAAATAATTTCAAATTATCGTATTATTTATTTATAACAATACACACACATACACCAAATGTGTATATGTTTTGACAGAATAAGGGCACCGAAAAGAAAAAATTGTATTTGGGGGGTCTCTTTGTTCTACCTTCTGTAATTGTGCCATGGGCTCTATAAGAAAGGTTGATCAACTTCAAGGAAACTAGAAAAATGCAACTCTGTGCTGTAGTCTTATAGTGTCAAATAGACTTTTTAATATGCAACAGTTGGCTTTGTTTATTTTTATTTTTTTAATAAAATTCTTATATTGGAAAAAAAACTGCGAAACAAGAATGGGATTTCGGGGTTATCCCAAAAGATGAAATCTAAAATAGTAGGACAATACAGTTTAGTCACAAAATTGTACAATTGGCAAATATGTATTTCTGTTGTCCTTAAATTTGAAATAATTTGAAATAATTTTTTTATTTTTTTTTTACAAAATAAGGACTCCGAAAGAAAAAAATGTATTTTTGGGCTAGCTTTGTTCTACCTTCTGTAATTGTGCCATGCCAAATACCTTTGCATTTTCTGTAATTTACCTTGTCAAATTTAACAAGTTCCCATCTCTGATTTGTTTATTTAAAATGAATCAAGGTCTACATAAGGTCAAGCAGGAATACTACTGTTGTCAATAAACTTAGTAGTTTTTGCACTATTGTGATTTGACTCTCTTTGAATTTCAAATCAAAATTGTGATTTTGACAGCAAGCGGTTTTTTTTTTGGACAGCAAGCGCTTGTTAGATAGCTTTCTGGCCGACCTTATGTAGACCTTGCAATGGATTTATGAATAAAAGTATTGTGAAAGGTATACTTCTGAAAAAAAAAAAACTGTAAACAAATGTTTGCATGACTACCTTCTAGTTCTACCATTTCCAAATACCAAGTTTGAGATAATTCTTGGTATACCCCGAACTGAAAAAAGGAAAAATGTTTACTACAATAACTGATTCTCCTTTTATGATATCGAAAAGAATTAGCAAAAATATTAGATTCTTGCAACTTCTGGAACAGAGCATCTGTTTAAAAATGCAGCTATAATCATCAAAATACCAAATATCTTGAGGTACCGTTATATGATGGCTATACGTATGCGTGGAACTGTAGAGCAAATTTTCTGCCATAAGAAGTAGCAGCCATTACGAACTCCAAACACCAAAATTTAAAACAATTCCGTTGAAAAATGTTACACCAACCATAAAAATGTCGAATATCTTTAGGTACTTTTATATAGGGTCTATGCCAAAATTTGGATTTATATGTACAGTTCTCTGCAAGAAAGTTTGGAACAACTCTAGTTTAGTAAAAACTCTTAGATTTTTTCGAAATTTTTTCCAGAGGTAGGTATTTTTACCCTTATCCCGGGAAACTATTTTTTTCTTGGGGGACGGACCCAGGACCCCAGATTTTTGACCCGAAAGTCCGGGATCAAGACCCCACCTGGACCCGGATCCACTTACCCGATATAGACAATATGGGTATCGATGGAAAGCTTATGGAAATACCTATCCAACAAGTGGTCACATGAAGGGGTAAGTTGTCATGGTTCGGAAGTTATAGTCAAATTATCGATTTTTTGGACCCGGATTTTTTATGAAACCCCCAAAAAGTCAAAAAAGGGCCCATTATGGGGGTCAACAAAATTGTTTCCAAATTATAGCTGACACTCTTACCGTTCAAAAATGCTACAATTTGTGCTAATACCTTTTTCGGGTCCAGAGATATGGGTCTTTCCATCCGCATAACCCGATTCAAACCAGTTCATTAAAATGATGTTTTTAATAAAAAAAGTGTTTATTTCGCGTAGCAGTCGTCGGAATAACAAAAGTTTTCTAAATTTGGCTCTTTTTGTAAATAGCCGGCCTCCGGCCGGGTCTTGAGATTTTCACCTATGGGTATGTCCGACACCGGCTAACGCGAACAAAAGGTTCATAATTTCGGCACTTTTTGTAAATAGCCGGCCTTTGGCCGGGGCTTGAGATTTTCTACTCTAGGTATGTCCTACACCGGCAAACGCGAACCAAAGTTTTCTAAATTGGATACCTTTTGTAAGTAGCCGGCCTTCGGCCGGGGTTTGAGATTTTCTCCTCTGGGTATGTCCTAAACCGGCTAACGCGAACCAAAGTTTTCTAAATTTGACACTTTTTGTATATAGCCGGCCTTCGGCCGGGGCTTGAGATTTTCTCCTCTGGGTATGTCCCACACCGGCTAACGCGAACCAAAGTTTTCTAAATTTGACACTTTTTGTAAATAGCCGGCCTTCGGCCGGGACTTGAGATTTTCTCCTCTGGGTATGTCCCACACCGGCTAACGCGAACCCGGACTTACGGGTCAAAAATCTGGGGTCCCAGGTCCGTCCCCCAAGAAAAAAATAGTTTCCCGGGATCATGGTTAAAATACCTACCACTGAAAAAATTTTCGAAAAAATTGAAGAGTTTTTACTAAACTAGAGTTAAGCCGAAAGTTTCATACATACTGGGAACAAATAATCCAAATTTACAACAAAATTTGTTTGCAATTTTGACTAAAACAACCAAAACACCTTAAATCTGTCGGTAAATGATGCCTTCATTCTTAGTTTTGTGCTAAGCTAGAATGATTTCCACAGACGAAAAATCGGACGGGTATTGCTAAATCGACATATAATTTTATACTGATAAAGAATATATTTACTTTGTAGGTTCTTAAATGTATATTTCGATGCGTTACAAACGCAATTAGAAACTCAATATACCCTCCCCTCCATACTGAAGTACTGCGACATAATAAATTAGAAACTCAATATATCCCCTCCATACTGAAGTACTGCGACATAATATTTGCCTCAGCCCTTGGTACTCTCAAGTGTTTACTTTATTGTAACTTCAAAACTTGTAATTCATGTATATCTTTAAAATCGAATTGTCTTATTGCAGTCTGAAATAAGTATAAGAACCGTTACTTTATTTACGTTACCTTTACAGCTAAATTATGTCTATTTCGAAACGCTGAAATTACTAAGCGAGCATTTTTACAGTAGTGATTTGTTATAAAAAAAGTTCGTTTGTATTTCTTTATAAATCGTTGCCTATAACACTCTAAATCTATAATCAACTGTCTGTCTAGTCTGAATCCGAATCAACATTTTCATCGCCATCCGAGTCCTCTTCCAGTTCAGGCATGGGAAAACGTAGTATTGCAGCAATGCCGGTCAATTGGGATAACTGTTCACCCGAAATATGCATGCTGGAAAATATTTTTACATCACCACCGGCGTCTCGGACACTTTCCACAAGCTGTACATATTCTTTGCGCAAATTAACGTCTTGGCAACGAAACAGATTATCCGATATGAGTAGAGTTTCAACGGCCTGAGCTTCCGCAGCTGCCATTACATGTTTTTTACCATAAAAGGCCTTTGATGGTTCACACTGCAACATTGTGTAAAATTGTTCCAACGCCTTAACTTCTCCAGCTGCTTTCGTATCGGAAATTTTCGACATAACCGATGGTTCTTGCATTACCTCTCGCAGTGAATGTTTAAATCCAGATGAGGAATGGACAAGCATAAATTTACTCTTGTTGTCCAGCAACAACTTAATATCTAGCTTAACAGCCTGTTGAAATACGTATTCCATAAACTGATCCTTTACAAAACCGGGAGAGGCAACCAGTACACACTTGACAACATCGAAATTGACATGCCTCAGAATACCCTGCATAACACTTTCATAAAATTTAATGAGGCCCTTTTCATGTTGTTGAATATTTCCCTTTCGTTTGCGTGGTATATTGACTTCGATTTTGCTGCGCACCAATGTCATGCTGGGTGTTATAAGGCAAACATGAGCCAGACCTTCCTGCATGACTACTGCTGCCACATCGGCCGATTGCGTTGGATCACAGGCCATTTCTATACGCTCCAATGCAATAGAATCCCATTCTGGCTTACGCAATTCAAATTTACGATTTAGTTCCAAATCCAATGTGTGATAAGCACCCATTTTAACGTACTGGTTCTCTTCAATGTTACGTCCTTTCAGACGTAGAACACATCCCTGTGTATCAAAATCTATTGTCTCCACTGTAATAGTTAAAGTAGTTCGTACACGGCTGCTTGTGCTGGAACCAGTGGCTGTTTCGTTTTGAACTTTGCGTATTGTTGTGCTGCGGACGCTATCACCCTCGGCAATGAGATTATATGCATGCCACATATCTTCTGATTCTTCGGGTATTAGAACGACGGTGCTAAAAAGAAAGGATGAGCACATGACATTAACAATATTTGTTTTAAGGAAATGGTGTATGGAAGAATACCACACATGCACATTTTTTTGTTAGTGAAATATTTTCTTAAATTCAAAAATTTTTCTGATTTAAAGATTATTGAATACTTGTCACTTACCCCTGACCCTTGTCCACATTTTTGCTAACCAGCTTCATGATGAATTGCTGACTTCTTGAAATTCGTTCCCAATATTATTATTTATCCAACGATCCGATAATCAGGCAATTAAAATGATTTTTACTATATTCTTAGTTCCACAGCTCTTGAAAGACTCGAGATTTTCACCATGTTCATTTATGTAGAAACTGGATTTTTGGAAACCAAGGTAAAGTTCCACCTGAATCGACCGGACCAAACAGCCACTCCACATCAACAGCCAACATATGTTTTTTTCTTTCAGCAGCGTGAGAGAGTTGCCACAGGTTATTTTAATGAAATATCTTTTTTCCAGAGATGGAAGTAATATATTATAAATTTTTCTTAAGTGAAGACTTTTACATTTTTGCAGTTCTGGAAAAGACCAATTGTTAATGGTAATATAATTCAAGCCACACACGATACAACTGGTTGTACAACTTGGAGAGTACTCAAATTGTGTGTTTCGGTCACAAACGATACAACCATGGTAGAAGAATATAGGTAGAAGCATCAACACTTGGAAACATTAATATGTCAACATTTATGATTTTTTTAAAAAAATAAGTTGATTTGTATATGTTTTCTTATACGACACCAATCAGATTTTGTTATAACATGAATTTTTCAACAATTTTTAAAAATTTCAATTTCAATCTTGGTATTCTTCTTCCATTAATACAACTTAGTGTTCAACCCATTGTAGAAGAATATAGGTAGTCGCATCGACACAGCTGCTCGGACAATGAACTGTCAAACCGATTTTGGAACAACCGATATTTGCGCATTTTTGATATCGATTAATCAAAGTCGATCACAGTATCCCTTCAATGTAAACAAACAGTGAGAAATTAAAAAATATCATAAATTAAAGGCATTTGTAAAATATTTGGTCAGTAAACTGTGAAATTCCGACGCAGAGAAACCCGTACCCTAAATATCTCATGATTCATTTAATTGCACCAAAGGTTGCAACATAGGTGGTGAATTTTAATCATTTAATGAAAGATTTCATAACCTAGTGCTGGGACAATTCTATAAACATTCACGCAATATAATTATAATTAAATGCCCAAGAGATATATATAGGTAGAATGGACATAAAGTAAGTCTACGCGAATTCTGTGTCAATTCTCCCCCTAACACTCACCCAATAAATTGTGTTCACGAAATAAGTTTGCCAGATTCGACCTCCAATTTCTTTTTGTCTTGTTTCTTTTTTTTACAGCTAGGAATTGGTAATGTGTATAGAACAGAATGGGTGGAAAACGCTATTATTGTGACTATTGCCAATGCTTTATGATTAACGATATTAAAGTTCGAAAAACGCACAATGATTCCGTGTCACATAAGACTAACAAAATCCGATGCATGCGGAAATTTGATGGTATGGAGAATATTTGCAATTTACTAAAGTACTGGCTGCAATTTTTTGGTTTGATTATTTTCATCTAGATCCGCGTAAAGTTTACGAAGAAGAAATTGCAAAACCAACGTGTCGACACTTCTTAAGAGGATATTGTCGCTTCGATTTGTATTGTCAATCCTCACATTATACACAAAAGGAACTGGATGAATTAAGACTATTAGGTAAATAGAAGGATGTACATCGACAGATATGTAAATTAAAATGTATTCAAGACAACGGGATATATTCTACCCATTTGTTTAAAAGAGCTATATTTGGTGCTATTGTATTCAACTGCATTAGTCAAATCGTCCGATCTAATATTATGTTTTAAAATTTCCGTTACAGGTACTAGCTTGGAAAAGAAAGAAAATAATTCTAGAACAAATGTAAGTGGCATAACTTCGCAGCAAATACTAAACCCTTGGTTGCCATGGACGGAAAATGTTTTGCAAAAAAAGAAACGAACAAAGAAAAACTTACCGCCATCCTTAAGGCCAATAAATTTGAAGAAATTGAAAAAAATCATAAACGACAGCAACTCATGGGGTTAATTTACTTATTAGATTCGTAATTTTGTAATTTTACTATGACAATAATTGTATAACCCTTTCCATTGCACTATCTATATCTAAGCTTAACTTTAATGATTTACCAAATTCATTGAAAAATGTCTTACAATCTTGACCACTAAGATTTTCTGTTCGTGGATCACTCAAATGTGCCAGAAGAAAATATATTAAATGCTCTGTAATAAAAAGTAAAAAAAGGAAAAATATTAGATATTTTCTGCAGTAATTATACCCGATTACTCGTATTTACCCGATTGATTTTCAATGGCAAAGAATAACGCTGTGGAGCCGCTACGCACATCAGTAACTTGCAATAACTTTTGTTTTAAATCAGAATTCTTTATAATGTTTCCATTAGCGGACGCCACATTATCCTCCACAATCATATCTTGGCAGACTTTTTTATAATAATCCTTAAAATCCAGCTTCATAGTTTTTTCATCTGATTCAATTTTATTGTAGTTACGCGTATAGAATATACTTCCAGACAACCGTTTATCCACTCCATTCAATATACATTCGGCCAATAGAAAATTATCTTGTCGCACTGCTAATTGCAGACATGTATAGCCATCATTGTTCAATTCAAGCAGCATTTTCAAGTCTATATGTGACATTAAATGATCCATAGAGTCGGGAACTAAATCATTTAAAACGCACAAGTGTATAATGTTGTTGCCCTGACAATCAACACTATTAGGACGTAAACCATTGGTCAGCAAAAGTTTTATAATTGGGGGTGAGCGATTGTTATTGATGGCTAATTGTAACAAATCCTTCAAAAGAGAAAACAAAATATAATGAGCATATTATTTACATATATAAATAAATAGATTTCGTACCTCATCATCGTCTGTTATTAGCTCATTTAAGTCTACTCGTTTATATTCTTTCCAAATGAGGATTTGTGTTTTTAAAGTTCTATCTTGATCTCTCACAATGCAATCGTAAATAGGCCTAAAAATAAGTAAAGACTATAGTTCAGAGTGTAAATCAATTTGGGGTATTCACAATTTTATACATACAACAAGCCATTTTCCAACGGTACATCAGCTATTATGCAGTCTTTAATAAAACTTTCATACAATTCGTCTTTTCTACTTAAATCCATATCAGTGATCATATTAAAAAGAGTTGAATCGTTTGAACATACCGAGTTCGATCGCCGCCGTTTCGCAGGGCAGTCATTATTTGATTGGGCGATCTCCGGTGTTTGTGATGACGGTTTTCGCTGTACGCTTTTTTCCGACAATAATGACCGCTGTGCAACACGAGATTCTTTATTAGCCTGTGGCTCTGCCACTTTACGTCTACGTTTTCGTTTCTTAGGTGTTGGCGGTCTTGAGTTGTTTGGCGATGTTGGTGTTGATTCTGTTGTATTAGTATTTACTGGTGGAACTAATTCCTTTGAACTGCTGGTTTCCAATATTTCAACTGGATCAGTCTGCGTTTCTTTATTGGCATATTTGGCATTAAGACAACGAACCACTTTTTGTGATATTTCTTTATCTGAGAATCGCATAAGAACACTGAATAGCTCCTTATATTCGTTTAACATATATTTCCGCTGTTGGTAGATGTGCGATGGTTTTTGTTCCATGTCATTTTGAATGGGCGGTTTCATTTCCCTTTTTACAATAACTGTAGCATTTGGCGTTGGAACTTTTACCGTTTCATTTTTAACCACAACAGGGGCATTTGACGTCGGTACCCCTATCATTTCATTTTTAACCATAACTGTTGCACGCGATATGGATTTCTTGGCCATTTCGGTTGTAATAGATAATGGCAATGGACTTCCAACAACAATTGAAATATCTTTGCAAGCACCTGGAGCTTTTTCGGTGGTTGGTTTAATGTTTGGCATTGCTTTAAATGCACTTTGTATTCCGTCTATTGTTTTATCGACAACGTAATGGCAGTTTTGTATCAAAACTTTGTATTTTAATGAACAACTCAATATTTTTATTTTAATTCTTGTAATTCCCCATATTTCTCCTCTAGGGTTGTTTAGGTCGACTTTCGACTTGACGTTAAATGAACTTACGAAAAAAAAAATCGAAAACAGAAAATCGATTTATGAGTTCGTGTAACCGACCTCTTTGTGAAGGAAAAGTTCCTCTTTATAGCGTTACCTAAAATTTGACGTACTAAGTCGACGTTTTTCGTAACTAAAACACATGTATGCATATGAATACATAAATCGTTTATTTGACTGGTTCAAGACATCGGATGTCTTCTTCGTAGAGGAACAAAGGGATTCAGGGATCAGGATCAGGTTGATTTTGTTCGATTTTGGCCCTACGCTCCTAAGCCAGCCGATGACTTTAGCCAGTCAAATATGCTCGTTTGTTGATCTGTTCCAGAACTGCAATAATGTGAATCTTGTTACTATGATAACCGATTTTCCCTTTATGATATCGAAAAAAATTGCAAAACTAGTAGATTCAAAGATTGTAGAAGCCAGTCGATATTTTAAGCCAGCCAAATATGCGCTTTATGTATCCTCACCATTGTTATTTCATTTCCAGATGTCAGAAAAAATGAAGGGACGCGTCTGGTGCCAGAGAGACCCTGAGATTTTATTGAATCTTTGGGCGGAACGAAACGTAATTGCAGATACTGTCGTCTGTAAGGGTTTAAATACATAAAGTGCATCTTCGTAGATGAATAAAGGAGTTTAGGTTGACTTAGTTTGATTTTGGACTAAGGCTCCTTTGTTCATTTCCGAAGAAGCCAGACGATGACTTAAGCCAGCCAGATAAGCGCTTTATTTATTCCCGCCTTAAGGGTGCAAATACATAAAGCGCATATGTGGCTGGCTTTAGTCATCGACTGCCTTCATCGTATATGAACAAAGGAGTTATAGGTTGACTTAATTCTATTTTGGCCCTAGGCACCTCTGTTCATTTCCGAAGAAGCCAGCCGATGACTTAAGATAGACAGATAAGTGCATTATGTATTCCCACCTTAAGGACAAAAATTAAATGCGCATTAAAGTTGAGAATACGTGAAACACTTTTTTGACTGACTTAAGTAATCGGCTGGTTTCTTAGTAAAATAACAGGAGCGTATGTTTAACAAGTGTAAATTATGGCCCAAAATGGAAGTAAGTCCAACTAAGGGTGTAAGTACATAAGAAGCTTGAGGTCATGGGTAGATATATTTTGTGACATTTCATAAAGAGATCACAGAGCCGCACTAAAATCCTGCCATCGTCTTCCATTATAATTTGACATTGATATACCTAGCCATGACTTCAAGCTTTTTATGTACTTGCACCTTAAAGTTCCTTTGTTTTTAGGAAGAAGACAGCCGATGACTTAAATCAGTCAAAAAAAAATAGTTTTACTGTTATTCTTTAAAAATCACACATTTTTGCTCCGCGAATTTTAATGATGTCATTCGTTTTTGGCGAGGGGGTGATGTAATAAGTGTTTTTGGGCGTAGCGTTGTAGCTACGTAAATAGATTTTTTACTGGCTTATGTCATCAGGTGGCTTTTTCGTAAAAGAACAAAGGAGTCTTGAAATAAGTAAGTTAAATTTTTGTTCATAATTTAAACTAGTTTTCCCTAATTTATTTACGAAATCCATTCTGTGGCTTATGCCAGAGAAAAAAGTTCTTCTATGAGTTTTTCTGTTAACACAGATAAATGAAGGAACACAGCTAATTGATCACTAGAGCATTGTAAATCTATATTCAGCTATCGTTTTCTAATGAAAAATTTATCGATTGTTAAAATTCCAACTGTAGATCCCTATTATGGTTCTTCACTTTGAGAATTTTTACGGAGTTTTCTACATTGTTCGTAGATTTGATTTTTTTTAAGATATAATACAGTAAAAAAATTGTCTAAATTATACAACTATCCAGTAAATGTGTAAAAAAGAAAGATAATTAAAAATCGATATCTACCTAAAACGCACATTTGTAAAATACTGAACAATTTTTCGCAGTATGGATCGTAAGTTGTCGCCATATTTTCTTCGCCATGAAATTTTTTATTATTTTCTCTTTTCTACATAAAATAAGATAATTTGCCGGCAGTATAGATATATCTGCATTTAAAATTGTGCTTTTTCATGTTTATTTATGTGGTTTTTATGATATATTCTATATATCTGATATTTGAAGGGGTTGTGTTGCAATTGTAGTGCCTCCAAGAATGTGTGTATGTACACATGTATAATGCTGTGTTGTCGCTTTTAAATTGGGGGCATGGAACAATTCTAATCATGGAGGTTGATACATAAAAATTAATATTTCACATAAAATGATGTGAGTCAAGAGAAATTAATATTCAATGATGGACAAAACTTGTTTGGATTCATATTTTTCAGCAGAAGGATTGGGATAACACATTTTTGTGGGAATGAGTCCATTCGAACCGGCAAAAATTATTTATGGTCCTCCAATCAAGAGGATCAAGAGGAAAGGTGAAGGTTTTACTTTAACCGAACTACATGGGAAAATTTGAATTTTTTTAATTATCGCTGAATGTTTTCATTTTCCTACAATGTAGGTATATTTTATTTAGGGGATGTCCTTTTTTTGCGAGGCATCAGTATTCAATAAATAACTATTTCCTGGATTGCAGGCTTTCGTCCAAAGCTTTAGATTTTGGAAAAGCCTATAGACAGAGGTGATAGTCTTAAGCTTATCCAAAACCACCTTTAATATTCATTTTCGACTGAATTCTCCCGGCCTTCTACAGGGACCTAAGATTCTTTCTCTTAATTAAATGGGCAGATCTATATCAACTACGCATAAATTATAAGCATAAATTATTCGTCGTAAAATCTACTATTTAACCATATTATAATCATATAATTTTTCGGAAAATTAAAAGCCCATCAAAAGATTTCTCGGTGAAACATAAAAACAATGAATACTGTTGATTTGGAAAAATGAAAAAAAAAAACAATTTTGTCGCTACCTGTTCTTAATTTAAACCCAGTAAGGAAAAGTCAAAATTCGGGCGGGGCCGACTATATGATACCCTACACCACTTAGTAGAGCTCTCGTAACAAAATAATTTATTTGAAGTAGATCATACCACCTATTATAGTTAGGTTTCAGAGGGAACTAATATGTGGGAGGTATATCCAATTCTGCATCGATTTTAACTAAATTTGACGGAAACGTTTTAATCTTTTATACTAAAAAACATTGCTTGAGAGAGCATGATATCACTTCGGGAAGGATTGTATTATAAAATATATATCGGAGCCACAAAATGGGAACGTACGTCCCGAATTTCACTCCATTTGGGCTGATATTAGCCATTATTTGCACAATAAACCTAAAATCGGATATACAGGGTGAGATAAAAAAGTGCGACAAAGGCAAACGCACTTTTTTTTAATATTATTGAATGGAAGCAAACATGTCGAAAATAGCATCAAATTTTAGAATAAGTTAAGATTTGTTCGAATTGGTCACCTTTGGCACGAATTGAAATTAAACCGTCACACTCTGCCCGAATGTCGCTCTGCGGTATTTTGGCCCATTCCCGGCGAAGTGCTTGCTTGAGCTGATCGACACTTGGGTATTTTTTGGTGCCAATCTTGCTTTCCAAAATACTCCCGACACAAAATTCCAACGGATTGGTCTCCGGAGATTTTCGTGGCCATTGTGCGCTGGAAATGAAGCGAGGAACCTCATTTTTAACCATTCTTAGGAGGCGGGTGCTGAGTGCGATGGTGCTGAGTCCTGTCCACAGTCTGTGGCCAAAAAGTTTGCGTGCCCAAGGCCTCCAGAATAGTTTCGCGATAATATTCGGCATTCATTCTGATGCCACAGTCGATTAATACGAGCGGAGAGCGATCATCGGCTGTTATGGCGGATCACACCATCACCATAGGCGGCACTTGAGTTCTGATGGCGAACCGAAGTTGTACATTTTCAGCTGACCTCTATGGAAAGTAAACACGATTATTTTGTTTGTTTACAAACAGCTAGACATCGAATGTTTTATCATCGGAGAGAACCAAATTCGCCAGTTCACCACTTTCTGCCAAGCGAGACAACTCTTTAGCTCTTTTGAGTCTATTTTCTTTCAGTTACGGTGTAAGTTCTTGCACTTTTTGGAATTTCAATGGCTTACCCACCTACTGCGACGCGGGTTTCGATCAAGTCGTTTCTTTACTTTTCGAACCATTTCTGCTGATGTCGGGCTACGCTACCAGTATCACGATGGTACGAAACACAACAGATTTATTCACATTTAAATGCTGGGGTTCTCTAACGATAGCCACTTGTGGTTTTCCAGCCAAATATAAAGAACTCACACACACAGGCTTGAATTCCATTGCGAATAATTTTTTTCTGGAAAATTTCATCAAAATGCTTTTCTACACTTGTAAACAATACAATGAACTATCACTGGAATAATTTTAACAGCTGTCGGACGAGTGGCTTATAAATGACAGCAGTCTAAAGTTGGTTGCAGTTTTTTCATCTCACCCTGTATATGGAAGCTATAGCTATACCTGAACCGATTTTCACCAAATTTGATGTATTTACTTTTAGACTAAATTCGATTAGAGGTGCCAAATCAGGTAATTTGAACTTATATTGGCCATTAGGTACACAATTAAAATCGAAATCGATTGAAGATATATGGGAGATATATCTAAATCGGATCCGATTGTGCATTTTGTTCACAAGAATACATGGACAGACGGACTGACATGCATAAATTGACTCAGAAAGTGATTCTATCAAGATCCTCAAAAGAGACTATGGGTCTATCTCGCTTCCTTCTCCATGTTACAAACAAATGCACAAAGACATACTAACCCCAAAAAATTAAAAGCCACGATTTTATTTTATCTACTTCTAGAACGTTTTCGTAATGGAGGAAATAACAACAACGGCGGTCGTGGTACTTATCGCCGTTACAGTCGTTCTCGCTCAAGATCAAGGTAAGAGGAAACCTAAATAATAATAATGCATTATTTTTAACTACCAAAATTATTATTTCAAAATATATAGAGAACGTGGTCGGGAACAAAACTATCGCATGAATCGACGTAATTCTCGATCGCGTTCACGTGAACGTGGTGGTTACAGATATGACAATAACAACGATAACGATCTGTATCGTGATATAATCAATCAAGACTATCAGGATGATAGAAACTCGGGTGGTAATTCACGGGGAAATAGTAAATTTTGTTCTCGTGGAAATGAGGATGATTACTATGATGCCGAGGAACGCTACTACAATGACAGATCAAGAAATCGTGATCGTGATTATGACAATCGAGATAGAAGGTATGATTCGGTTACATAAATAAAATACAAAATAAAAGTGAATGTTATGATGTTATATTATCCTTAACAGAGATCGTGATGGAGGCGGTGATAGGGATAATAAAAATTATGGAGGTTCAAGAGGTGGCAATGGCAATAACAGTAACAATAACAATCGTCGTTATAACACCGACGACCGTGACAGCGATGAAAGTGACGAGACAATGAGTGCCCAATATTATAGCAGTCAAAATCAAAAGCCCTCAAACACCATCATTGTATTTGGTCTGCAACCACATATCACCGAGGCAGATGTATGTTGTCGGTTTTCAGTGTGTGTGATAATAGTTTAATATCTTCATTTTTCAGATCATGAGCTTATTGATTAAAGCAGAAATGGCCCCAGCCGCTATACGCCTCATACGTAAACGTACAACAGGTAGGTTTCATTATCAAAAACTTAAGATAACTTACAGCAAAAAAAAAAAAAAAACAAACAAACGAAAAGTACCAACAAAGCGTAAGTATATGCAAAGGATGAAGCAAAACAAATTCTGCCAGAAGAAATTAAGAAAAAATTAAAAGAAAAACAAAACAGAAACCTATTTCCCTACCTTCTATTTCCAACTTCATACATAACAAAAATTTGTTGATTATTTTACAAAAACATTTTGTATTTGCTTCTTATTCAAATTATTTAGGTGCATCACGTGGTTTTGCATTCGTCGAGTTTAATACGACTAAAGAAGCAGCACACTGGATGGAGTATACTCAGGTATCAACAACACAATTAAAAGCAAACAAAAAACAAACAAAAAGAGTTATGAAATGAAGTGGAGGTGTAAAGTAAAATAATAATAAAGTAATGATGATGGTTATTACGGACGGACTAAATACCTTTGGACTCTTAACAAGGACAATGACTGGGAGCAAATTTCGTTAGAATTTTCAACATCGTGAAAGAAGAAGTAAAAAAAAAAACATCCAAGTTCGCCTTATATAGTCCCCCCATGTAAGGCGTTTAATTTGAGAGGTATTATTCAAGGGTTTTTTTTAATTTTTCAAATTCCTTCAAAATGGTAGATGGTATTAAAAGTTCGACCCAGTCGTGTTCCATCATAAGTAATTTTTTGTTACAGGTTGTAGTACCCATTACGAGGTTAGGTTAAAGGATGCGAGGTTGTATATACAACCACTCCATTGGGAGAGCTATTGGTGCATTGTGTTCATCCTAATTTAAAAAGATAGGAGAATATAATAGAGGGAAGGAAAATAAAAGCGGATAGTGAAGAAGTGAGAATCTAAATAAAGAGTGGAGAAGTTAGTAGGTTTGCATCCATGGTATATCAGCTTATCGTCCTTAGCCATTTTAGCCTTCTGGGTAACTGAAGAATGACTGCTGGCTCGATGTCGGAGAGTTAGGACAAGTCTGGCAGAATTTGCTTACCCAGTAGCCTCTGTCTCACTCCTATAAGAGTTGGGCAGTGGCAGAGTAAGTGTTCCACCGTCTCAGTTTTTTCCTCGTCCTGACAAAGCCTGCAGTATTCAGTGTCGTCACCCCCACTCCCCATTTGGATGTCATGGCATTTATGTTGCAGACTCCTGTAATTATGTCCACCACAAGCTTCAAGTCCAGCTTCGTCAATGATATGGGTGATCTAGATCTTCTTTCGGAGTTCACCGGCCAAATCTTCTTGGAGACATTACATCCTCTTCCAGTTAGCCAGTTCTGTTGAAATTTCCCAAGATAATGCCTTTATATGGGGGCTACCTTTATATGGGGGCTATGGGGGCTACCTTTATATGGGGGCTATGGGAGGTATCTTTATATTCGGGCCATGTGAAAACGTGGATCTATTTCTGGCAAAATACACATGTGTGCAAAGTTTTAGACTTCTTTCTCAATTCGATCTAAAGGTAGCGTGATTACAACAGATAGAAACACTGACAGAGGGACATCCCTAAATCGACTTAAAATTTTACGGTGAACAGGAATAATACACTTTGTTGGGTCTGTCATCAGTATTTCGAGGAATTACAAATGGAATGACCTTTGTTGACCTTTCTGGATTTTTACGAAACCAATTTTCAAATGTTTTATCGCGCCATGAATTAAACTAAACTCTATAAAAATCTTGAGAGTCTTTCCGGAGGTTTTTCCTTAAGAGTAGACTTTGCACAAAGGATTCCATAGATAGTTTTTAGAAGACTTCCGCGAATATAAAATGATTTCAAAGATATTTTATAGCGGGAAGATTAAATAGGTTTCATTAAGATGAGAGGAAAACTGAAAAAGTCGTGATCTCTTGACACTGACTCATTCAAAAGTCCATTAAAATATAGACATACCCAACGAAGGAATCGTGACATTTTTTTGGCAGACGTCTGACCGACCATACATCACCATCATAAAAGGGAAATTATCGTATATGTGTGTGAGTGTTTATGGATATAAACCACCTTCCAACCATGCGAGTGAGACACTTCAAATAACCAAAAAAGAAAACTTAGAAGAGCCGACCCACAAACAAAAGGCACTACTTTGTGAAAGCAAAGCGAAACGTTGAAATGATATCCATCATACCGGTGACTTGTGTAGTCTGTGGAATGTTGACTTTTGAATAATGTTGAACTAATGTGGAATTTTTCTTTTTTCTTTCTCTCCCCATTATAGGGTATTTTGCAACTGAACGAAACATGTCGTGCTACATTGCAATATAGTCTTCTAAAGGATTGGCATTGTGGCAAGGTTGGTGTTATGCTCATAATATTTCTAAACTAAGGATTTAAAACAACGCAAAAACTAATTTTTTTGTTTATTACAGTGTGGTCTTTTTAATTTCAAACGTCGTGGAAATTGCTTCAGATGTCATGCTTCGCGCGATGAAGGCGAACAATCTGGCTCAGTTGATGATGAAGATATGTCGCTTGGCCATAACTCAAAAGATAGCAATTCAAAGCGCAGCGAATGGTATTGTGGCAAGGTAAGAAAAATTTAAACCAAAAAAGAAAACAATTTATATTAATGTGCTTTCCCTTGCAGTGCAACGTCTTTAACTTCCGACGCCGCGACAGTTGTTACAAATGCCTTGCCTCACGTGGCGACAGTTCATACGGCGAGGGCAGCGATGAAATAAGCAACATTCTTACCAAAAGTATACATATTCACAAAATTTTTCATCTATTCTTAAGAACAGTTTACAAAAATACTAGTTTATTGAAACAGGCATCTAACCAATTTGCAATAATTTCACAAAAGATAAAATGCTATATATCTGAAGAGATACACATTTTTTTGTCCTATTGTTCTGTTCCTTTGTAAAAGTTGTTAATCGAAAAATGTTAATCACAATGAAACTCCTCCCTACTTCTACCAATTCAATGCAGAAATTATGTTACGTAATTTGGATGTGCTGACCAATGAGGAGGGGGTTTTAACAGCCATCACAAAACATGCACCTGATTTGGCCAAGAAAATAACCAAGGTTCTTGTGTCGCGTGATGCCCTTACACAAACATCACGGGGAATATGCTATCTAAATTTTGATACATTGGTCGATTCCATGAATATGCACAATTTGTTGAGTACATTGGAACCGCCTCTAACAATTGACGAAAAAGAGGGTGAGTACAAATGAATTGAACCTATGCTTAGAAAGTTGGCTTATCACTGATCTGTTTTGTAGTTCTTGTAACATATTGTGTGGATCATGAAAATCGCCAGATTGTACCTAAAAAGAAAACCGAATCATCAGACGGCTCAGGGGGAAAATCTTCGCAGTCAGTGATTGGACCAATGACCGCTGCTGAGAGTAATGCGGCAGCATCTCTTTCCTCGGTGGCAGCTCAATATACGCTGGATGATGTACCACGTTTAGCTGAATATAGTGCTTCCCTCTATGCTACAACACCAGCAGAACATGCTCAATATTTACAATATTATACTGAATATTATATGTCCGAAATTAGTAGTGGCTGTTATTCGAATTTGCCGACCGATGGTCAGGTTACCGAAGCAAATTCCGGAGCTGCTGTTGCTCTTTCGGCCATTAAGAGAAAACAGGCCAAAATGAATAGCATTGAAACAACGGCAACAGCTGCGGCGGCGGCTGCCGCGGCTGCAGCAGCAGCTGCTGCCTCTGCCCTACGACCGGCAGTGGTAACACCAAAAGGCAATGATGGCAAAATATATCGTAAGTCTTGCAATTGTCTAGAGTCGAATGCATTTCTGCCACACCGAAATGATTTTTATTTCAGCCACTCCCGATGTATCACTATATCAATATGATGAAACCTCTGGTTATTATTACGATCCCACAACTGGATTATATTATGATGCTCATTCCCAATACTATTACAATAACGAAACTGGAGCCTATCTATATTGGGATCAACGTAAAAGTACCTATACACTGGCAACACCTGCTGCAGTAACGGCCTCCGTACAGGCCGCAGTTCAGCAAGAAACTGAAGCTAATACTTCAAATTCGGCTTCAACCGCTACCGCCGATGAAGGCGAAACCAAGAAAGAGAAAAAAGAAGGCAGCGGCAACAAACACGATAAGGTAAAAGTCGCCAAAAAGATTGTAAAAGACATGGAGAAATGGGCCAAACAGTTGAATCAAAAGAAGGATTATGTACCCATAGCCCCGCCCCAGCCAACACAAACTTCCATTGATGCTGCCAGAACATCAACAAGTTCCGGCGGTAGTGGCAGTGGTTATGCCGATGTGGGTTTCTCCATATTAGAAAAGAAGGCCAGCAACAAGTTGTCACCTAATTTTATGTCACCTATGACACTGAGTGCACCAAACAAACTTATACCAGCATATGGTTCCGATTCGGAAGAGGATGTACCGCCTACAATGTCACATAAGGGCCCTTCTGCAGTGGGAGAGGCGAGCGAAAAGGATTATGTTGATTTCCAAAAACTTACATGTTTACTATGTAAAAGAGCATTCCAATCGTTGGAAATCCTGCAGAAACATTTAAAAATGTCCAATTTACATAAGGAGAATTTGGCTAAATTGAATTCATCGAGGGGTGCGGGAGGTGGCGGTGGTGCCGGAAGTTCAATGCACATGGATGGTGATAAGGATTCATTGGCAGCGGCTTTGTCGTAAGTGTTTTTTTCAAAACAAGCAATGTTTTTATAGTTTGATTTGATTTGTTTTCGTCTATAGTTATCGAGATCGAGCCAAAGAAAGAAGACAAAAGTATGGTGAATATGATCCACCACCACCAAATCCCAGCAGAGAATTCTTTGAAAAAGAAATAAAAAGTTTAACGTCGCGTACATCGGAAGCAGCCCCCGTTATGCCAATTGGTTCGAACAACGTAGGCAATCGGCTGTTGCAGAAAATGGGTTGGTCCGAAGGCCAGGGGTTGGGTCGCAAAAATCAAGGGCGAACAAATATTATTGAGGTGAATATATGGGCAAAATAACGAAGGCATTTCGAAATACAATTCATTCATTGAATCTTTCTTTTAGGCGAATACCCGTAATTCAACAGCTGGTTTAGGTGTTCATTCAGGTGCCGGACCCAATGATGATTACAAGACTTATATAAAGAAAATGATGAAATCGCGTTATGAATCCGTATGAACCTGCCTTTGCCCATCCGTACAATGTTTTATACTGTATCTCAAGATATCACCATCAATTTTTTTATTGATTTTATTTGTTTTATTTCTTCACGTAAGCTCTAATAACAATTATGTAGTGTCGTAGTCTTTAGTTTGTTTTAAAACATCTAAATTTCTTCCTAGAACAAAATCTTAGAATAATTTTCTTGAATATAATATTCAATAAAATCCCTGAATTATAAAATTATAGTTATTTACTACACGTATAGATAAATACAAATATTTGTAACATTTCAGTCAATTGCAACAAATTTTAATAAAATTGACATTAAAAAGTATATCTTGTAGCTATGGTGGGTGGTTAATTTTATTAGAAATCTTGAAGTTGTGGCTCAATTATTTCAAGGATGTCCAGAAGATGCACTTCTATTATTTGGTTCATCACAAGTAACTGCATGGACCACTGCTTCCCATTTCTGATTGGGTGCAATGCAAGACAGATGTATTTTGTACTCACATCAGTAATATATTACAACAAATGAGATTGTCACGCTAAACTTCCTAAAAATATACCTGACTATGTCTGTTATAAACATTAGATCTGAATTGGTACAAGGCCAAATGCAAGGAGGTCTAAAACGGCATATCGGCGAACAGTAAACTACAGTAGATTGGGAATCCAAGAGCTGAAACTTATCAGGACGTAGCTGAAGTTCCTTAGGAAAAAGGCAACGACTGAGGGAAACCCTGATCGTCTGTAATGGTGGTATCGATGGAAAATTTAACAATGTGTACCACTTAGTACACATAAGTACGAATTTACAAACCTACCCACATACCTCAGTCCTACAATGCAATAGTAATATTATTTTCGAATTTCAAGGTTTCAAATCAAATGGTCCTCCCAAATATAGTACCATTTAGTACACATCATGGTACAATAAAGAGAAGGTAGGCCAATTTTGAAAAAATTGGAAGTATAGAGGTCTACCTGTCTGGCTTGTAATGTCAGAATTAGTATCAAAACAATGAAAAATCAAAGAACAGTAAACTACCGTAGATTGGGGATCCAGGAACTGAAACTTATCAGGACGTAGCTGAAGTTCCTTAGGAAAAAGGCAACGACTGCGGGAAACCCTGATCGTCTGTAATGGTGGTATCGATGGAAAATTTAACAATGTGTACCACTTAGTACACATAAGTACGAATTTACAAACCTACCCACATACCTCAGTCCTACAATGCAATAGTAATATTATTTTCGAATTTCAAGGTTTCAAATCAAATGGTCCTCCCAAATATAGAACCATTTAGTACACATCATGGTACAATAAAGAGAAGGTAGGCCAACTTTGAAAAAATTGGAAGTATAGAGGTCTACCTGTCTGGCTTGTAATGTCAGAATTAGTATCAAAACAATGAAAAATCAAAGAACAGTAAACTACCGTAGATTGGGGATCCAGGAACTGAAACTTATCAGGACGTAGCTGAAGTTCCTTAGGAAAAAGGCAACGACTGCGGGAAACCCTGATCGTCTGGAATGGTGGTATCGATGAAAAATTTAACAATGTGTACCATTTAGTACACATAAGTACAAATTTCCAAAACTATCTGCATTCCTCAGTAGTGGAATGCAATAGCAATCTTATTTTTAAATTTCAGAATTCGAAATTGTACTAAATTTGGCACGATTAAGTAATTTTTGTGCATATAAGTACAAATTTCGAAAACTTCCTACATTGCCTACACTAAACTCCGCCAATTATGTTAATTTCAAATTTCAGGATTCCAGCTCCATCCGTTCCTCCAAATTCAAATTGTAATAAATTTAATTTAAATTTAAATTTTGCAAACAATATTTTTTTGGCCCAAGGACGAACCCTATTGAAACTGGTGATAATCGATTCAAATTTAGATATAGCTCCCATATATATCTTTAACCGATTTCGGGTTAATTGCGCACCAAATGACCAATATCAGTCCAAATGACTTTTGGCACATCCGACCGAATTCAGTCTAGAAGCAAGTACATAAAATTTGGAGAAAATCGGTTAAGATATAACTATAGCTCCCATACAGGGTAAGATGAAGAAACTGCAAACATCTTCAGACTGCTATAATTTCTGAACCACTTGTCCGATAACTGTATTCCAGTGACAGCTCATTATATTGTTTAAAAGCGTACAAAAGCATTTTGGTGATAATTTTCCAGAAAAAAAGTTATTCGTAATGGAATTCAAGCGTGATAATGTGATTTCTTTATATTTGGCTGGAAAACCACAAGTGGCTATCGTTAGAGCACTCCAGCACTCCATTTAAATGTGAATAAACCTTTTACCTTTTTACAGAAAGAAAATAGACTCAAAATAGCTAAAGAGTTGCTTCGCTTGGCCGAAATTGGTGAACTGCCGAATTTGAAAACATTCGTTGTTCAGCAGTTTGTAAATAAGCAAAATGATCGTTTTAATTGCCAAAGAGGTCAGCTAAAAATGTGCACCTTCGGTTGGCCACCAGAACTGAAGCGCCGGCCATGGTGATGGTGTGGGCTGTCATAACAGCCGATGGTCCCTCTCCGCTCGTATTAATCGACGAATATTGTCGCAAACATTTTGGCCGCAGACCTTGGATATTCCAACAGGACTCAGCCCCATCTGGTTAATTGTGCACCAAATGATCAATATCATATTACATTCGTAATATGCATTCGACAACAATGATATTTGATACCAGATATTTTCTAGAGCTCGGAAATACATTTGCCAAATTTTATCGAGATAGATTCAGATTTGGATATAGCCCCCTTATATTAGGAACTTAATCCGATTTCAAGTTTATTGTGCAAATAATGGCTAATATCAGCCCAGATGGAGTGAATTTCGGGACGTGCGTTTCCATTTTGTGGAACTCGGCTCCGATACATATTTATACCTTACAACACTATGTGTTGGGGGTATTATAAGTTTGATTGGGCCAAAAATTATGTAACACCTCGAAATATTGGTTTCCCACATAGGAAAGTATATATGGATCTTCCTAGCTCGCCGAGCTGAGTCGATCTAGCTATGTATATCCGTCCGTCCGTCTGTCCGTCTGTCCATGTTAATTTGTAATCACTCTACAGGTCGCAATTATGGTCCGATCTTCACGAAATTTAGAATGTAGGTGGGGCTTGGACCAGAATAGAACCCTATTGCTTTTGGATATGATCACCAAATGTTTAGGGGTTGAAATGGACCAAATACCGAAAAAATGTCGGATTTTGCAGTAGCTATACAGGTCGCAATTATAGATCAATCGACGCGAAATTTCGCATGTAGATAGAGTTTAGGGCGGTGAAGAAGCCTACTAATTTGGGTGGTCATCGGATAATATTTAGCGGGTAAAATAGACCATATCTTTTGTGATGAAAAAAATCAAAATTTTTCATTAAACCGTGAATATTCTAAATCCCGGCGAAATCACAAAGCCATCACAAGGTTAGTTCTGACCTTTACATTGATGTTATTATCCAACAAATCGGATATATAGCAAAATATGTGCGATATATATGTCTATCAAAGAAGATATGCTTGAAAGATCTCTTATATGTCGAGAACGGCTGAACTGATTTCGACAGTTCTCATTAATTCAGAATGGCCTCTTGGCAGGAAAGAAAACACGTCTAAAAAAATCGCATTAAAATATCTCTCTAAAGATGAAAATATTGATTTTGTAAAATGTTCTCATATTTTTTTCAATTTTGTCATATTTTTGGCATATTTTCATTTTGAATTAAACATTTGGTAATAATTGGTTCCAGATCTAGGAAGACCATTTACGTGCAACATCTACCAATAAATTGGAAATGAGCAAATCCGTTTAAGTTGCTATTATTCGAAAATTAGAAAACGAAACATGATGGTTTTCTTTTATTATTTGTCACAATATCTTGTGGAATTCTGTCGAGTATTTCGCCTATATAAACTGTATGGTTTATTATAGTGTTGTAGGGTATTCAACTGTCGGCTCCGCTCGACTGTAGCCTTTGCTTACTTGTTTTTCATATAATCTTTCTCGAAGTGATAATGTTATTTTGTATAATAGATTATGTCTCCGTCAAATTTAGTGAAAATCGTTACCGTCTTTATTCGGCTTGCCTGTTGGGAATGTTCTCCCTGTTGTGTATATGCACCTGTTGTGCAAATGCACAAAGAGAGAGTCACATGGAAAGAGAGTAGCAAATTAAAATCGATCATGTCTCTGAAAGAGCTTTCTTTTTAAAAACTCTTATCTCTCCCTAATAAGAAAACAGCTGTTATTCGTAATTTTTGTTTTGTTTGTCTCTTTGTTGGTGGGGGTAAAAGAGAGAGGGAGAGAGTACTCATTTGATATTGTGAGATATAGTTATAGCTTCCATATATATTTCATCCGATTTGGGGTTTAAAGTCCCTCACATGCGTAATATGCACTCCACAAGAAAGATATTTGGTACCGTGCATCAGATACAGCTAGAAAATACCTCTGTCAAATTTAATCGTGATCGGATCAGATTACGATATAGCTCCCATATATATCTTTATCTGATATCGTGTTTATTATGCACCAAATGTCTAATATCAGCCCAAATGGACTGAATGTTGGCGATTCCGACTGAATTCATCTTAGAAACCAGTACTTCAAATTTAGAAATCAATACTTCAAATGGGTTTAGACATAGCTATAGCTCCCATATCAGACCAAAATGGAGTGAATTTCGGGACGTACGTTTTCATTTTGTGAAACTCGTCTCCGGTATATATTTTTATACCCTCCACCATAGTATGGAGAGTATATTAAGTTTGTCATTCCGTTTGTAACACCTTGAAATATACATTATAGACCACACAAAGTATACATATATTCTTAATCAGAATGAAATTCTATGCCGATTTAGCGATGTCCGTCCGTCTCTCACTCTGCTCGTCTGTGGATATCACTTTAGCTTCCGAACGAAATGAAGTAGATTGAAAAAATTTTACTCAAATGTATTTTATGTCTGCAGGACTTTTGGTATTGAAAATAGGCCATGTATATGGGTATAGCCACCATATAACGGTACCTCCCGATATTCGGTATTTTGATGATTTTAGCTACATTATTCCCCGGAATTGTTTCAAATTTGGTATTTGAAGTTCGTAATGGATACTACAGCCTAAGGTAGAAAATTGTCTGTGTAGGTCCACGTCTTCGTATAGCCCCCATATAACGATACCTCCCATCTGATTCTGATTCCCTTTTAATTCTCCAACGATCACTTTTACAGATTCTTAATGTCTTCTCATTTACCATTTTTTTCGGCTTGCCTTTTGGGAATGTTCCCCTCTGTTTTGTATATGCACCTGTTGTGCATATGCACGAAAGAGCCACATGAAAAGAGTAACATTTTAAAATCGATCATGTCTCTCAAAGAGCTTTTTTTTAAAAAAAACTCTTATCTTTCCCTAATAAGAAAACAGCTGTTAATCGTAATTTTTGATTTTGTTTGTCTTGTTGTTGGTGGAGGTAAAAGAGAGAGAGAGAGAGTGCCCCTTTGATATTGTGAGTATATATCAGGTTATTTTATTGTTGTTTTTGCTGTACACAAGTTGGCGGGCAGTTGACATAACTTACTTGTATGGTTTTCATTTTGCGTCAGAACCGTGCGCGCTCTCCACACAAACGAACCTCTTCTTTTTTCTGTATTCTGCAGATTGTAGTCTTGTGTTAATTTTTTAGTGATTGGTATTCACCATCACCGTCGTCATCATCATCGCCAAAGCAGCAGTTGTATAGCCCCCCTTTTTCCTCTTCGCGGACTGCGTTGACTAAAATTTAAATTTGAAGCGACAACTTTTCAGATATTTTGTGATCAAAAATGTAATTAAAAAAAGTGTTTTATTAATAATAACATATTTATTATAATAACAACATATTTTTCAGAATCAAGTGTTTATGTGTTAAATAAAAGAATATATTAGTGCCAAAACACATACCTACGTATATAAAAGTTTCATTTTTTCTTTTGAATTTATTATTTTCCTAGAATATTTTAATAGAATATTTACGATTTTCTTTTGGGCCAAGTGTGTGAAAATAACGGTGTGAAATGTATGAGAAAAAAAACGTGTGCTGATCACAGTCGTCTTCGTTTCAACCAACGTTAACATTGACGAGAGCAAATTCTTTCCCTTCCACAAATGAAAAAACCAAACTCAACATTTTCATTTTTTGATTTTTGTGCTTTGCCTAAATATTTAATTATAGTTAGTGTGAAAATTTTCCTGAAGTGGCCAAATAAAAAAAAAAAACGCAAAAGAAAAGAGTCCAAGCTATAGAAGAACACCCAAAATACACACATACACACCAAACATATACGTATACCTATATAAATAAATATAAATGATAAAGTGTTAATATTTTATGATCTCTTTTCGCCAAATGAATGAAAAACATTTGTATTTTATTTAATTCTTTTTTGTTATTGTTGTGATGAATATAAACTTGCCATGTGTTTGTGCGAGTGTGGTATCTACCATACATTGCCATTGGACTGGTAGGAGCTATTGATATAAAGAGAGCGAGAGAGCGAGAAACAGAGAGCAATGACATAAGAGTTTTATATTTTTTTTTATTAAAGAATTATTAACATTTTGTGAAAATGGAAACTAATTGTGCGAGAGCAAGCGGAAAAGTGAGCTATTAAACAGTGATGCCATCTAAAACACGACAAGAAACCGTTAATTACAAAAACTCGAAAATTGGATATTTAAGGGTGATTTTTAAGACCTATAGGAATGTTAAGAAAAACACATAAAGTACAGAAAATTTCATGACATCTTTATTTGAATTTATAGTAATAATAATTTAATGTTTGGAGATTATTTCATGCAAATAATGACCGTGACTGTGCCTCAAGTGATCAATACGCTTAGTCCAATTTTGGTATGCTCTTTCCAACATTTGTTCATAAGTGAACAAACGATTTAGGACCAGACCCATAAGAGACCACTAGTGCCGGAAGTTCACTTTTAACGCCGTCTAACAGAGTGCTATAACAGATGGCTCCCAACGTGGGGCTGAAACAATATGCTAGATGGTCCATACGCTTATTTCAATTTCGGCATACTTTTTCCAAGATTTCGGCGGGTATCTCAAGGTCTTTTTTGACTGGCTTAAATCATCCGACTTGCTTTTTCATAAATGGAAAAAGTAATGTTATTATATTTTACAGGATGAGATAAAAAAAACTGCAACAAAGTCAAACGCCATAATTTTTACATTTTTTTTTAATTTTATTGAATGAAAGCAAAAAATTCCGGAAATAGCATCAAATTTTAGAATAAGTTTTGGTACCCGGAGATTTTGTGCGCTGGAAATGAAGCGATGAACCTAATTTTGTAACCATTCTTGGATGGCGCGTGCTGAATGCGATGCTGCTGAGTCCTGTTGGAATGCCCAAGGTCTGCGGCCAAAATGTTTGTGTGTCCAAGGCTTTAATACACCCTTCAGAAAATATTCGCGATAATATTCGATATTTATTCTGATGCCACGGTCGATTAATACGAGCACAGAGCGACCATCGGCTGTTATGGCGGCCCACACCATCACCATGGCCGGCGCTTGAGTTTTGGTAGCCAACCGAATGTGCACATTTTCAGCTGACCTCTTTGGCAATAAACACGATAATTTTGTTTGTTTACAAACTGCGGGGTAACGAATGTTTTCTCATCGGATAAAACCAAATTCGGCAGTTCACCACTTTCGACCAAGCGAATCAACTCTTTAGCTCTTTTGAGCCTATTTTCTTACTGTTGCGGTGTAAGTTCTTGTACTTTTTGAAATTTCAAGGCTATCCCACGAGCTCATTTTTCAATATTTGCCGAATGGAATATTGCGATATGTTCAGCTCACGAGCCATTTTTCGAGCACTGCGACGCGGTTCTCGATCAAGTCGCTTCTCTATTTTTCGAACCATTTCTGCTGATGTTGCTGTTTTCTTGCGTCCATTTCCTTGACGTCGGGCTACGCTATCAGTATCACGGTAACGAGCGACGGTATGAGACACAAAAGATTAATTCGCATTTAAATGCTGGATTGCCCACTTGTTGTTTTCTAGTCATATATAAAGAAATCATACTATCACGCTTGAATTCCATCACGAATAACTTTTTTTCTGGTATATGTTCACATTTGCATTTGTACGCTTGTAAACAATATACTGAGCTGTCACTTGAATAATTTTAACAGCTGTCGGACGAGTGACTTAGAAATGACAGCAGTCTGAAGTTGGTTGCAGTTTTTTCATCTCACCCTGCCTATAATTATTATTTCGATGAGTTATAAACGGAATGACGAACTTACTATGCCCTCTATTCTATGTATGGTGGAGGGTATAAAAATTATGAGTTTTTCTCAAACGTGGGTCATTGTTTAAATCACCATCACCTATATCTAGATCAGCAAAATAACTTCCAGCATTAATCCTCCATGTCGAATATTTGATACTTGTCATCTGAAATCGGTTTGTCTTCATTCCAATACATCCCATTGAATTTGTACCATGATATTATGGTATGGACCCACTGTTGTCAATGTATACATCCATACGTACAGATAGATAGATGTTGGTGGATATATGTGTATATTTGCGATACTTTTGTATCTTTTTTTGGAAGTATTATTATTTCACCTTCAAATATACATACATACATACGTTGAAAATACAACAACAACAGCAGCATAAAATATTTATGTACGGTTGTCGCTCGGCATACATATCGACAATGAATTGAAAATACATTTTTCGTATTTTTTAAAAAAAGAAACAGAAAAAAATAAATCTAAAATCAAGATCTTGTTGTCGTCGTCGTAGATGTTGTCGTCATCGTCATTGTGTCTGCCATATGTGGTCAAAAGAAATAGTGTAAAGTCTTAAAATAAAAATCTTGAAGCAAAAAACAAAACCAAAAAAAGAAAAGAAAACAAATATCAACGAAAAACAAGAAATTTAAATTACAAAAAAAAAAAAAAGAACGAAACAAAACAAAATAAAATAAAAAGTTAAGCAAAGCTAAGATCATCAATACAAAATTACAGCCATGAGAATATAACAACAACAAAACAAACACAAAAACATAAGTAGCTCTATGCTCCCTATCTCTCTCTCTCTCTCTCTGTGTGTCTTGTTTCACCTGAACATTATTGGATAGTTAACATAGACATAATCACAAGAAATGTTGAGTGTTTATAAAACAATATTTTCTTTTGACTTTTTCCCATCTATTCATTTTCTTCTTCTTTCTTTTTTTAATACAAATAATCTAAACGAGTGTGTGTGTGTGAAATAAAATTAATTATTCTTTAATTTTTCTTCATCTTTTCTTTCGGTCTGTTTCGTCTTCGGTCGATCTCTGTGCCACATTAAAAATAAATTTTCACTGAATAAATAAAACAAAAACAACAACAACCAAATGTTAAACAAAACAAATAAAAAATTTCCTCGTTTCTCGTGTTTTATGGTTTGGCGCTCTGTACAAACCCAAATGTTTTCCACATTTTACCGGTGCTACAAAATGGAACATATTATCAACTACATATTTCTACATATCTACAACAGAATCAGACTTTAATAGGGTAAGATTTATTATAGTACTTAAAATTATTTGTATGTGAAAGTCCAGAGTACCCTAAACCCGATCGTTCATAAGAAGATTGGAACCGGCGCATTGCTTCCTCTGCATACTGTTACAGCCCCACGTTGGGCGCCATCTTTTAAAGCTTCATGCAAAGAATTGGATCGCTCCAATGTTTATTCATCTTCCCCGCATGCCCTGCATATGTAGTTATCTTCACATTAAAATATGATCATTATCAGTTTGTGGATGAGAGAGGTGCAATAAAGGGAGACCCGTAACTTCTTCCAACTTATAAAACCTTAATTACATGTTTTGTTAAACACGGTATTTAGATTGTCAATGCCTCAGGGTAAAGCAGGCTATATTTTTTATTTGATGATAGCGTCTGTATTCAGATTAATCAACAATATCTCAAATATTTTACTCTGTGGTCAGACGTCTGTTCCATGTTACAGCGCCCCACGTTGGGCGCCATCCGTTACAGCTCCTTGTTAGATTAGGTTGAAAAGAAGGGCGAAAATCGCCACATGTTCTAGACTCAAGCCAGTATAGGCTTGTTGTCCGTTCTAGGCTAAAGAAAGTTATAGAAGATAGGCAGTTTTATCTTATATATTTATAATATCTGGAATTCAGTTGCCTTAACAAAGTTCTTTAACTGTTTCATTTCATATACAATGATCTGATATAGGCGTGAAGCTATCAAAGACAGAGCTCGTCCTCTTTACTAGGAAACGTAAATGTGTTTTATTGATACCACAGATGCTGGATAGGGTCACGCTAAGCCTCTCCTCTGAAGCTAAATACCTCGGCACTATCCTCGACCGCCAACTAAGCTGTAAGAAAAAATAAAAAAATAATTCTAAACCTAACAAAACTGCAACCAACTTCAGACTGCTGTCATTTCAGAGCCATCTGTTCGACAGCTGTTAAAATTATTCCACTGACAGCTCATTATATTGTTTACAAGCGTACAAAAGCATTTTGGTGAGCATTTTCCAGAAAAAAAGTTATTCGTGATGGAATTCAAGCGTGATAGTGTGAATTCTTTATATTTGGCTGGATAACCACAAGTGGCGGTCGTTAGAGCACTCCATTTAAATGCGAATAAATCTTTTGTGTCTCGTACCATCGCTCGTTATCGTGAAAGCGTTACTGATAGCGAAGTCAAGGAAGTGGACGGAAGAAAACAGCAACATCAGCAGAAATGGTTCGAAAAATAAAGAAGCGACTTGATCGAGACCCGCGTCGCAGTGCCAGAAAAATGGCTCGTGAGCTGAACATATCGCAATATTTCATTCTGCAAATATTGAAAAATGAGCTCGTGGTATAGCCTTGAAATTTCAAAAAGTGCAAGAACTTACACCGCAACAGTAAGAAAATAGACTCAAAAGAGCTAAGAGTTGATTCGCTTGGTCGAAAGTGATGAACTGCCGAATTTATTTTTCTCCGATAAGAAAATATTCGTTGTCCAGCAGTTTGTAAACAAACAAAATGATCGTGTTTACTTGCACCTTCGGTTGGCCACTAGAACTCAAGCCATGGTGATGGTGTGGCCGCCTGTCAGCCGATGGTTATTATCGCGAAAATATTCTGGAGGGTGTATTGAAGCCTTGGGCACGCAAACATTTTGGCCGCAGACCTTGGACATTCCAATGGGACAAAATTCGGGCATCGTGTGACGGTTTCATGGGCCGTTTGAAGGCCATAATTCGTGCCAAAGGTGACCAATTCGAACAAATCTAAACTTTTTCTAAAATTTGATGCTATATTTTTTGCTTTCATTCGTTTGACTTTGTTGCAGTTCTTTTTATCTCACCCTGTAAAATTCAAAAACGATTTAGCCCTGCCCGTCCGTCCATCTGTCCGTTTTTTGTATTCACGCTGGAGTGAAAACGAATTAAGATAGAATTCTAGCTTCTGCACAGATCAGTCTTTTGTGTGCAGGCAGGTCAACTTCAAATATGGGCTATATCGGTCCACGATATCGTATCGCCCCCACATAACGGTAACTACCGATATTCGGTATTTTGATAATTGTAGCTAATTTTTTCAATGGAATTGTCTCAGAATCCACACATAGAGTTTCTCCTGCGTACTTTACCCCCTGGAAGAGAATTGTCTATACAGGTCCACGATATCGTATAGTCCTCATATAATGGTACCTCCCTATATTCGGTATTTTGATGATTGTAGCGAAATTTTTCAATGGAATTGTCTAAAAATCCACACCAGAAGTTGGTTCTGAGTACTTCACCCCCTGAAAGAGAATTGCCTGTATAGGTTCACAATATCGTACATCCCCCATATAACAGTGCCTCCCGATATTCGGTATTTTCATGATTTTAGCCAAGTTTTTGACCGGAATTGTTTCAAATGTTCTATTTAAAGTTTGAAGCTCGCAATGAGTACTGCAACCAGAGTACTGCCAGAAAATTGCCTATGCAGGTTCACTTCTTCGTGTAGCCCACATATAATGGTACCTCTATTATTTTGACGACATTAGCAACATTATTCACCGGAACTGTTTTGAAATTCGACGTTATTAGTGACATTATTCAACGGAACTCTTTAAAATTTCGTATTTAAAGTTCGGAATTGATACTACAGCCTATGACAAAAAATACTTATGCAGGTCCACGTCTTTGTATATCCCCAAATAACGGTTTTCATTTAAGTGGCATTTTTCTGAAATTATTCAAAATGCTTCAAAATGGTGGAGGGTATTAAAAGTTCGGCCCGACTTGGCTGCTTTTTTACTTGTTATCAAAAAACTTGTCTCCAGTTTATTGTTTGCTCAATGGGTACAATGGCATACAGGATAAAAAAAATATTTGGGGAATTGTTTCAAATGTTCTATTTAAAAGTTTGAAGCTCGCAATAAGTTCTGCAACCTATGCCAGAAAATTGCATATGCAGGTTCACTTCTTCGTGTAGTCCACATATAACGGTACCTCTCTTTATTTTTTTGACGATATTAGCAACATTATTCACCGGAACTGTTTTGAAATTTGACGAAATTTGAAAAGTTCGGCCTGACTTGGCTGCTTTTTTACTTGTTATCAAAAAACTTGTCTCCAGTTCATTGTTTGCTCAATGGGTACAATGGCATACAGGATAAAAAAATATTTTGGGTTTAACAGAATATTTTCACACAAAAGTTATGGTACATTTCAATTAAGCCTTTAAATATAATCCGATGGCCATTTAAAATGGTGGGACAAAGTTCCAGATCATTTTGTGATTTATACTGCTAATCGGAACAATCTGTTTTTAATCCCTATAATTTCATATTTATTTTGCGATCACCTCTAATGTCCACACACGGCTTAGGTTTTATGGAATTATATATCATCAGAACGTTTTCAGACCCTCCACCTCTAAGTTTTTATTCCCCACCCGTAGAGCCATGAAATTTGGCATTTTACTTCTCACTTCTTTAGCATACAAAACCAATTCTTGGAAACCAAAATAATTAAAAATTCTAAAATATTTGCACTTTCTCTGGAACGCACTCAAAACACTCACCTTCATAATAAATGTCCGACCAATCAATTCTTTGTTTTTTTTTTTTTAATCTTACGGGTGAATAGAAAATCGGAAAAAAATTTTATCCGAAAAGTAACAGAACAAATGAAACAAATGATATGAAAAAATGAATTCTGAAAACCGAAAGAAAATCAAAAATAGCTACATAAATTCAAAATTTTCACACGCAAAACCACAGCCAAGCATTGCCGAAGAAAACGTAACGTAATGAAAGCAAAAACCCAACAACGACAGCAAAAAATATTAGAACACACGAAAATAACTAAATATCTGCTAAAAATAAAAACTTATTTCAAGATATGAAACCATGAAAACAAATTTTCAATTTTTCTTGTTTTTTCTTCTTCCCAAGAAAACGACGATATGAAATGATCGACAAAAGATAGAAATAAAAAAAAATTGCTAATGTTAAAGGCTAAAGCTATGAATATATTTATGGATTTTTTTTTTTTTTTGTGAAATTATCTATGTCAAAATATTTTGGAAGGAGGATGGAATATAAAAAAACTGTTTGATTACGTTTAGATAACATTTTGCGAAAAAAAAATAATTTATTCGATAATTACAGGAAAACCCCGTAGATTATGAAAATAGATGTAAACATGAAAGACATGTGTACCGAGGGAAAGTATATATAAAAAGCATAAGAAAAACCACTCCATATAAGGAAGGTCCCCATATAAAGAGTGATTTGTTAATAACGCTTTAAAAAAATTATAAAATTTAAAATTTTGGCTTCAACCAACTGTGATTTTGCCTGATCAGTACCAAATTTTCAGAGCATACAGACTGAATAAAGTTGCTCCAAATTCAAATCTAGAAATTTATCTTAAACATCCTGAACTAATAAAAGAAATTTCTTTGCATCGATCATAAAATTCCTAGATACAGGGTGAGATAAAAAAATCTGCAACAAAGTTAAACGCTATAATCCGAAATAGCATCAAATTTTAGAATAAGTTTAGATTTGTTCGAATTGGTCACCTTTGGCACGAATTATGGCCTGAAAACGGCTAATAAAGCCGTCACACTCTGCCCGAATTTCGCTCTTCGGTATTTTGGCCCATTCCCAGCGAAGCGCTTGCTTGAGGTGATCGACACTTTGGTATTTTTTAGTGCCAACCTTGCTTTCCAAAATACTCCAGACACAATAGTCCAACGGATTGGTATCCGGAGATTATGGTGGCTATTGTGCGCTGGAAATAAAGCGAGGTACCTCAATTTGTAACCATTCTTGGGTGGCGCGTGCAGAGTTATATTGGAATGTCCAAGGTCTGCGGCCAAAATGTTTGCGTGCTCAAGGCTTTAATACACCCTTCAGAATATTTTCGCGAATGCCACGGTCGACTAATATGAGCACAGGGCGACCATCGGCTGTTATGGCGGCCCAAACCATCAGCATGGCCGGAGCTTGAGTTTTGGTGGCCAACCGAAGGTTCACATTTTCAGCTG